TAGATTTGAATATCTTTGAAATTCAAAAAATTGAACTTTCATTTGAATCTTAGTTTTTTAATTTTATTGTATACGACTACAGGTTTGATACGTGAACGTTGGTTTATTACCCAAAAATAGTACTTAACAATGACTTTCACAAGGTCATTAAACTTCCCAAACTACACAGTTACATATTACTGTCCACGCTAAGTTGATGCACACTTCAAATTAATCTGCACAAAGGGAAATGGTTTTATGTTGTTAATACTTACACGGTTTTTGAGCGAAATTAATCTTATAATTTTTGGATGGGTACTCGTATAAGTATTTGAAGTGTGTAGGTAATATCGTGTTATAAAATAATTTAAATAAAGTGCATGTAAACTTTGCAAAATTAAAGAACTTTATGCAATTGTCTTGTGTAATGAGGTAGTCAGGGGAGATACGCTCTGGTGGTCCATGAGGAGCAATGCCTTGGCTTTAGATGGTATCATGTGCACGCAACTATTACAAAAAATGTAAATTATTTTTGCATAAACTGTTAAATTTTTAGTACGGTTGTATAAATATATGAGCTTTTACGATTCCATTGACACCTTATCGTAAAATAGTAGGAACCACCCTACAGTGAAGTATTTATGATGCAGCAATTAGTGCGCGAGGTAAGTATAAGTTTGTGTTGCTGCTGCATATTAAATTCCGTTTCTCCGAGCTAACTATTTTTTCGTGGTATCTTTTTCCAATGAACAATTCAGGATTTACTGTGGTAGCTATTATCTGCTGGCCTCAATTTCATGAAAATGAATAAAACACATACGATTCAAGCACATCCAGTTGTTTCTAAGCAAAAATTCTATAAAATGTTTTCTGGACGTTTTCGCTTATATATATTTTATCGTTTCAACTTTGATCGCCTTCAGGAATCGTTAATTTTTGCACTTGCCTTTGTTTTTCGCCTATATAACTCACGAACGAAAAATTTTTATTTTTCCCTAATGGCATAATGACAATCAGATTATACAGACACCGTTCCATTTGCATAATATATTATTAACTTAATTGCTACCACGTTCCACACCGCCACTAGAAGGTGCTCAGGAATGACTACGTATAGGTATGCGGTAGAGTCGCAATATAAACATTATTTTTCTCAAGGCGTTTATATTAGTGTTTTACGATAATTGCACAGGCATAATTGGTTGTTTTTCTGCATACAATTGTTGCTGCAATTGTTTTCATAGTACCTACCAAGTTTACCTTTTTTCTATCAACTTTGTTACGGCGCCGACGCCCGGTTCAATTATCTTAAATTTTAATTATGAGTAGGTACTTAGTTTCCTGGATATTGTGTGTCCCCACCTAATTCTACCAACAAAAATGACATTTCAAGGAATCTATCGCAAATTGGAGAAAAGTTTGCTTTGAAAATCTTCTAAATCAATACCACTGGCAACAAGTTGAAAAGAACGACCTATCATATCCGTAAACAAATGCAGAAGCAGAATCAAAGAAACCAAGTAGGCCGAGGTGATAATTTCTAAAAAAATGAGTCAAGAAGGCTTGGCACTCCATTTCCAACGCACCGATCTAATTTTTCAATGCTCTTGTATGTATATATCAATCATAATCCTTCTTCCTTCCAAATGAACACCATTTTATAACCTTGGTAAACAATTATTATAAACTCATACTCTTGTGTGTAATCTCTATACAGGGTATCTTCAAAATGGCGGTTTTCGAGATATTGACATCAACTTCCTTATTTTGAAGGGACGCCATATTGGATTTTTACTCAGTTAAAATACAAAAAATTACAATTTCCATTTTTTCTTCATAGTTGACCATGGAAACAAAACTAGCATAGAGGCTTAATTGTCATTTTACAATGTAAGTAAAATTAATTCAACAGGAATACACTGCGCAAGGTACCTAAGTGCTGCAGTAGCTAAAGCGGTGCTGAATGTCCTTAGATGGAATGCATTTTGAACATTTACTGTAAATGCTGTAAATTCATTTATTATATTTTTTTGTGTTCTTAATTAATTCTTTAATAAAACTACTGGCCGGCCACGGTCAGACAATTGTAACATTGCAAAATGTCATATTGCTTGCTTTTCCATGGCCAACTATGAAGAAAAAATGAAAATTGTAATTTTAGCCAAATTTAGGTATTATTTGAATGAAAGCTTGTTATACATGGTTGGAAAGAAAAAAAAACTGTATCAAACTGAGTAAAAATCCAATATGGCGTCCATATTTAAAATAAGGAAATTGATATTTATGATCCATTTGTAAAAGTTATGGTGTAGTTTTAATAAATAGTTATAATGGTGATAACGTTTATATTTTTCTTTATGGCTATCGATTTCGGCTGGAATTGCCATCATCAAGCCTTGCTATGTAAAATATATATAATGTGTAAACTACTAATGAACTAACATAAATAATAATGTGCTTACCGTCATAAGACATATAAAATGAAGGGCAAGGCCTGATGATGGCAATTCCAGCCGAAATCGATAGCGATAAAGAAAAAATATAAACGTTTTCACCATTGTAACTATGTATTTATTTAAAAAAAAGGAAATTGATGTCAACATCTGGAAAATCGCGATTTTGAAAAATTGTTTTCTTCATCCATTGAATTTATCCCATCGAATCTTGCAACTTTTATTTGAACCTTTTTCGATAGCTCTCTTTGTTACTAAAATATATGAACTTTTTAAAAATGGCGATTTTCACTTTTTAGTGCACTTTCACTTTCAAAAAATAAAAAGTGCACTCTTACGCTCTTGATCTCTGTCTTTCTGAGTCACAAAGGCGCCGAAATTACACCACTTACAGACTTGGTATTGGTGTCATTCGTGTTATCGGTCCATAAGGTAAACAGATGTCAGTTTATCCAAGACGCGGCGAATGGTCTTTCTAGTGCCTAAAGTAAATTTTATTTGCGAACGTTGATAAAATGATGTAAAGAAAGAGAAGAGTTGTTAAAAGGGGAAAAACAGTCAGTCTTGGTGGTTGTATAGTTTTTGTAGAAGAAAGATTAGGTGGTGTTCTAAGAGATTTCAATTTGTCGTTATAAAAGTGAATGATCCAATTCGAGCGCAAGCAGTGTCACGTATACGGAGAAGTAGTTGTGCCTATCGAGCATGTAATCGCATAAGTGATGCTTTGCTGTAAAGTTTTTCCAAGTACCCAATAAAGCGAAGTTATCCACCACCAAAAAGCCACTTTTACATTTACTTTACAGTGACTCCCAGACAGACAGGTCTCTAGACCTTTCCTAACTGCTTCCTGTAGGCTACCTTGCGCATAACAGGCCACCATACAGGTGCACCATACAGTATTATTGGCCTTATCACTACAGTGTAAAACCAATATACCAGCCGAAGGTACAAGCCCAATATACAACCAAGAGCCCTTCTACATACCCATAGACATGCAGTGGTCTTTTTGCTTATTCGCGCAATGTACCGTTTCCAGGTCAGGCGCCTAGTCAATGATGACTCCCAAATATTTCATTAACCTGGTCAGACACATTCAACATCCTCGAAGGGTGAACCCATCAAGGTCAGCCCTCCTTCTATTCGTAAATTGAACAACCTCGGTCTTTGCCCGGTTAACGGAAAGACCAGGGGTACTGCACCACCTATCCAACTGTTCCAGAGTCCCTTGCATGAGCTCTTTCACGGAGTTTGAAAACTTTCCAGTTCCGCGTATCCCTGTGTATACGCTCCCCCCTCTTTCATAGTGCAAAGGAGCCCGTCTAGTACCAGGTACAACACCCCATCTTGCGGACACCCTCTAGTAACCGATCAGCTCATCTCCGTCATCCCAATTGAGGATATAACAACTGCAGCCGAGCATGGATCCGATCCATCTTACGATTGACCCATCAATATAAAGCTTTCAGTAGCCTCACTAATTGAATCGAACGTGGTGTTGTTAAACAGCTGAGAGTCAATGGCGAGTAGGGATCGTGAAGGATTGGGCACTCGCTCAAATCTTTATAGTTACAGACAGCAAAGCAGCGATTGCATTTTCATTCAGAACTTTGCGCACAAGTACTAATAAGCGCACTAGGCAGATTGAACACAGTCACACTAGTGTGGGCACTTGGGCATGAGCAAATCGCAGAGGTGATCAGGTTGCAGATAAACAAGCGAGAGCGTCAAGCGCGAAACCACTCATGGGACTCGAACCGGCCTGAGGGATTACATATAACACTGGTAAAAAGGAAATTCAAGCAAAACTCACGAAAAAGTACTGCAGACACTGCGGTCGAAAATTTCAGGACATAGTCATCCTAAGATCTTTCTGATAAGCCCCAACGAGGAACTATAGAATCGTCCATCTTCAACCTAAGTAGGATGAAGATCAAACTTGCGAAAGAGATGTCACTGTTGGTTAAACAATACCTGCACAAAATGGGACTGACCGACAGCTCGTTATTGAGAGGTTGTGGTGATGAAGAAGAAACACCACACCACGTCATTTGCCATTGTGGGGCATACATAAAGGCAAGGGACCGCCTACTTGGAAATGAGAAAATTACACTTGAGGAAGTAAAGAGGGATCCTGGAAAGAATGAACCCGCAATATAATTGCAGAATTCAAACGAATTCGATATTCCGAAGAAACAAAAAAATTTGAAGTAGGTACCTGAAGACTGTAAAGGATGGCAAGTATCCAAAATAATCAAAATCGGAGCATCATAATAATATTTTGACGAAGTCATGTATTTAACCCACTAGCAAACTGCTCGGCAGAATTCTACAGTTTTATTGCGTGGAATTTTGAGGGAAGGTATGTAGCAGTTTGGCATCAATCATCTTGGTTAGTCTGATTTGCCGAGTGTACATATGGATTTATAGTCTCATAGCATTGTGAACTAGGTACTTATAGTTTTTGTATGCATGGGAAAGGTTTAGAGAACTAATCATTAAAAGACACCATTTTAATAATGGAGTTATACACAGAGAAAATAAAACACTTTGTAACTCAACATTTTCTTTTTAATGACAAGTGTAATTTTCCATACTTCTATTGTACTCCGATAAGCACACCTTGACCATTACATGATCATATGCAAACATTGAATGTCTAATTGGCGAAAATCTACTACTTTTATCTAGTATTAACTTGTTGAGTTTTTCGGGCAAAGGAAGTATCGTCCACGGATCCAAATTGATACAGAATGCAATGTTGAGCTTTTTAAGTTTGGTGCAGCTGTCTCGTATGGGCCGAAGACTTTGGATGCTCTTACAGCCCTTCAGTCTAAGCCGTTCCAGTTCACGGCAATTTGCTATTGCAGCTATTCCAGCGTCGTTGATCTACAAAACATAACATGGTTACTGCTCGTCTCATTATCAATCAACCAGTTCCATTTGACATAGTTAAAAATCTTATGCGTAACTATTTACATGATATTTACCTTCCAACACCCAGTAAGATCGATAGACGTGACACGCAGTAAATTTTCTCTGTTAGAGTTGAACAGTTCCGCAATAGTTGACCCATCAATTTGATTCGCCTCTCGCACTTTTAAAGTATTTAGATTCTGTAAGCTTTTCCATATTCTTAAAAGCACTTCTGGTGACAGATTTCGTGCGTTATGTAGACTGAGGGTTTTCAATTTTGTACATTGCGTTACAACCTTAAAATTAAATATTGGAAGATTACTTTGGAGAGAATTAGTAAGCTTTTTCTGAAAACCGACCAACAGTGTTGCCCAAAATTTACTTTACCTTAAAGCTAAAATCAGTCAAACTACTTGCATCTAAACCCAATCCTGTAAGGTTGTTTGCAAAATTTGATATAATAAACAATACATGTGTGTCACTCAACCGCCCCGTTTCTTTATCACTCAAAACTGTGGTAACTTTCAATTCCTCCAATTTGTGGCAATTTACCAAAGCAGTCATGAAATTGTTGATGTTCAAGGAATAATTCTTGCTCAAATTGATGTGCCTAAAAAACTACATCGATTGAACCTGTCTATTACTAAAACTAATTTTACCTCAGATTCATTAAACCGGCGATCTCCTCGTAAAACTTGCAACCCCTAAACGTTGTACCGGAAATGTCCAAAGTTTCCAGTTGTCGGCATCGCTGAATCAGATTGCGAAGCACAGTTTCGGAAACTGTACCGGAATTTCGCAGTGTGAAGTGTTTTAGTTTGGGCAACCAACGCATTATTTGCCTGATAATGAAGGCAGGTTCCGAAATTTCTCGCAAATGAATGGTTGTTAAGTAGGGAAGACATCGGATTCGTTGACAGATGAAATTCGTGGGAACTCTTTCGCCGTAAATGTGCAGTTTTTTCCATAGGACCGGTCGGGTGGCTGCAAATTTCCATTGTCTACACACCTGGATCATAAAAGTGAAACGTGTAATTGGAAACGATTTCCGTATAGCGAATTGCACTGCACTGGACCATGTGGAATGTACGATGGCCAGAATTTTCAAAACTGGACCACTGCATCAAAAGCAGTACCCCTTTTCTATTTTCTTAGAAAATCGGTTGTTGCTCATAATTTTTGATATCGTCGTCCGATCTTGAAAATTCAGGGCGTTTTCGATTGTAAAGTTCAAAATCTATAAGAATAAGTTTTTTCTCGGTCAATTTCAGGCAAGTCGTTTTATCGACCGAATTTATAGACATTTTCACTGAAAAAAGTCAACTCCGAAATTGATCGGGAAAAAACTTTTTTTAAATCGTCATCTAGTAGGCCAATTTTGAAAATGTTTCCAGTTTTGCATTTGATCTAGTAGCCCCGGGCATCTTCAAAATGTTGGGAATTTTGAATTCAACATTTTTAGAATTATGAGGATTGAACTACTTAGGTAGGTACTACATATGATGGGGAACCAAAATTTGTTATTTCCCTCATTCAAGAACCCTGGGTTGTCAAACCAAAGGTTTCTGGTCCTGCGAGGATACCAAAAGCAACCGTTTTCTTTGACACACGGTAGGAAAAACCTAGGAACTGCATTTATGTTCCTAGCCACTTTGAAACGCTCCTGTTGCAACACCTTTTGGTCGTGATATCACCAGCCTATACAGGTAAGATGTGACATACGGTGTAGAGCTGAATTAGTACCTATATTGGGTGTATCTCCCAGGACAATGAGATTCTGTCAACCTACTCTTTATGAGATGGTGGAACTGATCAAATACCTACTGTGAGAAGAGAGAAACAACAAACACCTCATTATAGGATGTGACTTAAACGCTCACCATACTACATGGGTAGAGCACTAACGTCAACCCTAAATCATCATTACGTACTTAAATATCTGAAAGTATTAATCTAGAGATACTCGATCGGGGCAGGGAACCCACGTTCGTAACTACCCGAAACCAGACTGTGATTGATCTCAGCCTGGCATCAATGGGTATCTCTGACTCCCCTAACGAACTGGCAAGCGACTATGCCAGATCATAAATTAATTTCATTTGAAGGTAACGGATATTCCCTTTTATGTGTATCATTGGACAAAAACTAAGAGATCATCCCCTTAGGGGACGTCTGTGGAGCTCTGTCGACTTACGGGGCAAAGTAGACCCTCTGAAAACTACTAAGACTACAAGAATTATTATTGTCCCCGAAAAGATCTTAATGATGGTGGAGTCTAACTTTAAACGCGAATTGCTGGTGAACAGGACGTTGAAAGTGGGTACCGAGAAAGGGAATGTGATTGCCCCCGACATGATCTTACCTATGGTGGAGTCAAAACTTTAAACGCGAATTACAGGTGCAATTTTTTGGGTCGTAGAATTCAAAACGTCTCGTATTTTGTCACATCAAAAGTTATGGACAAACAATTTCGAAAAAACATCACCGGGTCGTAACGTTTGATCTAAAAGCCCAATCTTCAAAATGTTGGGAGTTTTGAATTCAACATTTTTTGAATTCTGAGGATTGGTCTACTATACAAACATGATGGGAAACACTTTTTTATATAAGTTTGGGCCTGTAGCCTGGTATAGTAGGTACATAATCAGCACGATGAGAGAATTTTAGGGGTAAAAAGTTTGGCCTAATTTCCCCAAAAAAATGGATGTCGATATGTTTTTTTTTGTTTCGGGTATCGGAATACAAAATTAATGCAAATTTACAGGAAATCATGGATAATTCATTGATCTCTTACCAGCATAACCGATTTACGTATTTCGCTCTCTTCCAAATGTTCAAAAATTCGTACCAAAATTTCGGATGGTAAATTGTGGTACCAAGTGGGGGACGAACTTGAGCGACAAGACGTTTGGGACATTCTGCTTGAAATTTGTGGCCAATAATTAATTCCTGGTTTGAAATTGCCGCCTTTGAGAATTAGGTCCAATCGAATTAAATTCTACCACGTACGTGTATGGTTGTGTTCTAATGACGTGTCGGTGCATAACCTCTCTCAGGCTCTTTTGAATACACTTCCATCAGTTTTACTTTTAAATAGTTAAGAATAATTTCCTTAAATTAGTACTCAAATGGCACCAAAAGATAGTAAAGACGACAATAAGGTAATACGGTTTGTGGTTTTACTCATGACATAACCTAACTTGATTCATTTATTCAGCCTGTGAAAATTAACAAATGGGATGGCTCGGCGGTGAAAAACGCAATCGATGATGCTGTTAAAGAGGTACGTAGTTTTTCGCCGTTGAGTATTGAATACTACCCACCTTTTACTGTAGGTGCTTACAAAGAAATACAATTATGTAGAGAACTTTGCGCTCATGGACGGTAGGCTAACGATATGTGGAATAGCTGTTGGTGTTGCTATGTTTGCTTTGCTGTGGGATTTCTTATACCCTTTTCCACAATCGAGGTAAATGACACTTTAATTCTGTTAATATTCATCGATTGTTGTAGGCCGATTCTTATCTTCTGTGTCGCAACATACTTTATTATGATGGGAATTCTAACGTTATACACGACGTATAAGGAAAAGGGAATATTTGTTATAGCTGCGCAGAAAAATGGATCGAAAAAGGAAACTGTATGGGAAGCAAGTTCATATTTGAAAAAGTAAGAAATTATTTTTAAGTCTATTTTGAGACAAGCAGATAATTTCATTTTGTGCTATGCTACTCGTCACTGTGTTATCCAACAATTATACAGGAGTGTGATGTTGGTTGCTGCTTTGTGAATGTACAGGATATGTGTGAAATAAGCACCCATTGTTATTTGTCATTTTTTTGAGGGAACACATAAGCGTCCATTATAATAATATCAATATCAAACTAATAAAATTGTAATATATAACGCTTTCAGGTATGATGACAAGTATAAATTAGTGCTGTCCTGTCGTGATGCCAAAACTGGAGCAAAGAGAGAGGCCAATTTAAAGAAGAGTGTGGCGAACTTTGTGGACAGCAATGGATCTGTGGTTCCAGAAATAGTGGAAACTGAAGTTGGAAAATTACATAATTCGTTACTTAGTGAGCGTAAAGAGAAATAAATGTCAATGTGTAATTGTTTAAAATTACTTTTCCAATTCTTACATGTAATATATTGCAGTTTGAAACGATTTTTTATAAATGTCTATGTCCTTTTATAGCATTTGTTGGGTTGTATTTTCTTTGTATTTATATGTTAAAAAATAATAATATTAAAGTCGGAGGTATTTTTCATATACCTCTATTTTTAAGGTAGGGAAGTTCCACCATGTTTTCCCATCATGGACACTTAAGATGTAGTGTAAAATCATATTCTGTTATTTACACTTTGCTTTGGGCTGCAATACTATGATTGGTTTCCTAATGAGAACATTTTGCTAAAGTTTAAGAATAAAAGAAGTGTGAATCACCAGAGCTGTTTCTGATTTACAAGGCAGCCTCACACTTTTCATCCAAATCCCCAAGTTATTTCCGGAGCAATTTGCTCCCCTACTCCAAATAACCAAATACTGACTGCATCATTCATCTTATGTTAATTACTTATTTTTGTTGTAATTCAGTTCAATTCAATTAGTTGGGTGTGATTTAAATGACATTTAACAGTTAACTTAGGACGAAAAAGTTTGATATTGTTTTTTTAATGTCTACTGGCATTTAACAGCTCAAACATAGCGCTAACACCGTGTTCATTATTTCAATAAGTAAAAGTTGAGTGTGAAGTTGACCCCACCCGGTTTTCTTAATTAATACCAAAAAGCATGCTCATTGCGAGAATGTAAATTCGGTTTGTGCATCCGCCTATGGTGAAATAATGGATGTAACCAGCACATTGTTTTATTTTTTTTTAAAAGTTGTTCATTGCGCCCATTATTTTTAAGTCATTCTCGAGGGTCATTTTATCATGTGTAAAAATTTCATGGCTCTCCGTGCGTGGACCCGTTATCTAAACAATTACCCAATTGAGTGTGGGTCAACTTCCTTTCAAAAGGGAAGGTGCACACAGTTTCAAATATTTTAGCTGAAACGGTATAATTAAATAAAATTTTCAAAAATTTATTGAACACTCCCTTAACTTAAATTTCTGAATGCGACCAAAATAAGTGTTTTGAATTTGTAGATGTTTTATGAATATTGGTAATCATGTAGTGAAAATATTGCTTTTTTGACAGTTAAATTAAAAAAATTGAATTTCTTTGAATTTCGTTTAATTTTTATTGAAAAGAACGATGGATTTGCTTGGTTCTATAATGAGTTCAATGGAGAAACCACCCTCACTTACAGAGAAAGAAAAACTACTGATCAAGAGTATTGCCTAATATAATAATTTCCTAACTAGATACATAAAATTTTTAGAACGAAAGGAAGAAATAGAAAGACGACAAGCTGCAGAAAAGGAGAATCTCAAAAAGTTTAAAGATAAAGTCGAAATGCAATTAACGAGTTATTTTAAAAACAAAGAGAATTTGAGTTTGAAATTTGCGCCTCTCGACCATGTATACAGAAGCATTATGTAAGATTCCGTGAGTTATTTGGGTTACTACAAATATGTTCCAGACATGATGTCGCCGAAGCGGCAGGTTTCCTAACGTACGCCTTCGGTGTAGATGGTGTTGATAGATACATCCGTGTGTATAGAAAAGAGAATGCCCCATGCGAAGACGAACTAGCTGCACGACGGAGGGGAGATCCTTGGAACGACGCTATCAAGCAGAATCTAATCAAACAAGTTTGTGTCCTACTTTAACCAGGCACGGTTTGAGTTAGCTTTACTTTATAGAGGGAACGTGAAAGAGTGTCAGAACAAGAGGAGTTAAAACGCAAACCAGAAAAATTTACTCCCACTTCTAATTATAAAGATAAATATGCCCATCTCATTGGCCATGATGCCGCCTTAAAAGCAGCACGGAAAACAGAAACAAACAAAAGTTATGGATTCGGTAGGTCTCCATTTATAGCCACACTTCGTAAAATTATTTTCATTAGTGCCCAGTGAAAATAAGAAAGATGTACGCTCTATTGAGCAAACTATGGCAGATATACGAGCGAAGAAGAGGTTGAAAACCACCCACGATTTGGATGACGATTGCGGTTCATCAGAAATTACCGAGAAATGATGCGCTGCTCTTATTTAAAACATATAAATGTAACGGGTATAAGCTCATAACTACAACATATGCGATGGTTAATTTTTAGAAACCAATGGTTTAATTTTGCGTAATTATAATGATATTTTGTTCGTTGACATTAGTAGTTAAACAATTCTAAGTTATGATAGTGTACATTATGTAATTAATGGATTGTGATTTTTAAAACGGAACTTGTTTAAACCGAGGTTTAATTTTCCTTGTGTTGAGCCAATTCAGCTTAAGTGTGCTTGAGATAAATGCAGTATAATCTGTAAGATTGATAAGTTAAGTCTTTTTCATACTGCAAATTTCCTCTGACATATCTACCTGCCAAAGTGTCAAGAAAACACTTTTTCTTATTAATTTTGGTGCGTAGAATCCAAAACAATACGTACTTTTTCGATCAGACCTCAATTAAAAGTTATAGACTAGAAACCAATTTCGAAAGAAAACTCAAAGGGCTGTAACTTTTGAACTAGTAGCCCAAACTTGGAACTGTTTGAAATTATGGATTCTACAGGCCACATTCTATTAGAATTTTTTTTTCCGGGTCGATCTGAGAATTTGTTTTCGGGCCTCAAAAAAAAGGCAGTGTACAACCTTCCTTTTTTACCAAAAATCGACTGCACCAAAATTTCTCGGGAAAACACTTTTTCTTATTAATTTTGGTGCGTAGAATCCAAAACAATTCGTACTTTTTCGATCAGACTTCTCCATTAAAAGTTATCGACTAGAAACAAATTTCGAAAGAAAACTCAATGGGCTGTAACTTTTGAACTAGTAGCCCAAACTTGAAACTGTTTGAAATTATGGATTCTTCAGGCCACATTCTATAAGAAAATTTTTTTCCCGGGTCGATTTGAGACATTTTTTTCGGGCCCCAAAAAAAAGGCAGTGTACAACCTTCCTTTTTTACCAAAAATCGACTGCAGCAAATTTTCTCGGGAAAACACTTTTTCTTATTAATTTTGGTGCGTAGATTCCAAAACAATTCGTACTTTTTCGATCAGACTTCTCAATTAAAAGTTATAGACTAGAAACCAATTTTGAAAGAAAACTCAAAGGGCTGTAACTTTTGAACTAGTAGCCCAAACTTGAAACTGTTTGAAATTATGGATTCTTCAGGCCACATTCTATAAGAAAATTGTTTCTCCGGGTCGATCTGAGACAATTTTTTTTCCGGGCCTCAAAAAAAGGCAGTGTATAACCTTTAAATAAAATATTAATGATCTATGGCTATGGTTTTGTCAATCGAGTCAGATATCTCTGAGTTGCTCAGTTGCATATAACTAGCCATCCTCCAACACTTTTTTAAATTTTTTTCAACTTTTCTTTCAAAGATACATTATTTGATTGATTAAATAAACAGGTTTCAGGGTCACTTAAAAAACCCACTGCTTAATTTGCATTAATTTGTACACAATTTTGCATGGGAGGGACCTTTCGGATTCCATGGTCGCTGATTCTAGCCCCGTAAAACCCTGCTCTGGAAAGCCTTTCTATGCTTTGGAAAATACCCCACTTACCGTTCTTAAATATTTTCTGGACTTCCCTAGACCTTTTCAAAAGCTTACCAAAAATTCTAGCTATGTGAGACTGGTGTTCTTAAGACGAAAATTTTAAGAACATGATATAGAAAATTTCATATAATTTTCATTTTTTATCACATGTAGTCTTACAGTACGTAAAACATAAGTATATTACATGATGCTCATTATAACAGTAACAACTAATAACGCATCAATAAAAACTAAGTGTGTTGCTGTGCTCTATTTTTGTACTGAAAGCAAGATCCCATTATTTTTCACTGGTCAGTCTCCAAATGTAGTTTGAACAAATATATAAATTAACGGAAATGTCAATAACAACTTCCCGTTAAGATATGATTCGTTTCAAGATGGAATGATTGCCTAACTGGTTTTGAATCAACTATCCGTTTTACTCGACAATGGTAAAATAGGAGTGTCTTTTTTTGAATGGTACCCACTCTTCGCCTCTTCTTGCTCGGACTGCCATTCGACCTTAAAAGAAAATTTTAAGCGAAAACAATCACTCCAACACCGAATACCTTCTGCTTATGCTGCGTAATCGCGTCATTAACTCTATCAAGCACCATTTTCTCGGTTAGAACGCCATCTTCTGATGCGTATGCAGCAGCTTGCCATGCTACACCTAGTTTGGCTATTTCTCTTCCGGACATACCCTCGGTCATTCCTGCCATTTTTATACATAAATCGCCATAGTCAAACTTATCTACCTTTAATCGCCTAAAAAACATCAAAATTAGTTATGTTATACAGGGTGTTCTTAAATAAACAGCTAGAAATGAGATTATTTAACCAAACATACAGTGTAGCCCAAAGTTAGACCCTTGCAGAGTTACACATTATCTTTGATAAGAATTGCTTTTATACATAGTAACATTCTGGGATTTTAAGAGGGTGCAACTTTGAACCAAAATAACAAAACAATTGAATTTACCGTTTTCCTTCAATCGCGGGTTCAAGAACAAATTTGTCAAAATACAATCTCAACAATCTTTCCCGTTCCTGTAAACCTGGCAGTATAAATTCCACCATTTCATCTAATCTGTCATTAACGGCCCAATCGAATTGTTCGGGCGTGTTCGATGCTAGAACTAACATAAATTTACCACTTTGATCGCCGGTGCGGTATAAAAATGCGTTGAGAGTTGCTCTGAGGTCTTCCGATATAGTTTCGGATGAACGTTTCCTAAGGAAAGCGTCTGCTTCGTCCACAAATAATAAGAGGCCTACGACATAATAATTAGTACAAATACAAAAAGCGCGATGATTACCTTTTCGAGAACTGTTTGCCCAATCGAACACTTTGTGAATAGCCGTCACGCCATCCCTGCCCATTGGTGCGACGTCGCCGCCAGTCAAAATCGCGTAATCCATACCGGAGTGTTTGGCCAGTTTCTAAATGGCCATAAAGTAATTACAGCAACAAACAAATTAATTACCCTCGCGAACATAGTCTTTCCGGTTCCAGGAGGTCCGTGCATTAGTATATTACGGTACATTCCCTTATTATGTTTCGTATTTTTGGTGGCGATCGCTACATCACGAAGTCGTTCTTCAAGCTGTGGTGCTAGTACAACGCCTGAGAGAGCATCACCGGGTTGTTGACGAAGTTTTTTAAGTGAACTAATTGGATGTTTCAGTGTTTCCAGAAATGAAAACCGCGACGTTTCTCTGACAAGAGATGGCTTACCTATTATCAACAATCAACATAAGTTAAACCTCATCACTGCATAAAACTTGAGGGGGAAACCGCTTTAGTTCCACTAAGACTTAAGACCTTCTGCAGAGGCACCTCTAAAAAGCATTATGCTGGTCATTCTGTAATTGGGCGCAAGCCTGTTGAGGGCCCACAACAACAGAGCGATAATAAATAAATAATTCAGCTCTATTTCCACCAATTCCTTCCTATTATCCCAATCAGTTACAAGTTTTTTTCATAAGAAATATCTCCGCAAACTTCGTCCGTTCCTGAGGTTTTAATATTTAGGGTGGGCAAAAAGAATGAAGTTTGTCAAAAATAAAAACATGATCTTATATCAGCAGGCGAATTCTATGTTATTTATTAAATCTGCAGATACTACTGAAGATCAATTATGCGCATGTGTTCAAAAAATTTTAGCCGCGCATGCGCGAGCTAACAAAAACGGTAGACACGTTTATTAAAAACAAAAATATCGCCGAAAACATCAAAAAGAAGCAATTTGGAACACCCTTACATATCTGTTTCTATTGTATCTAGAGCAAGCTGTTAATTTGGTGGAGAAAGAGAGAAGAAGGGGAAATGTATGAGGGCAAAGCCCTGGGCACCAGCGATAGCTACTTGGCCCCTGATTCCTACTATTCTTAGTGATGCAGGCCCGTAGCCAGGGGGTGGCCAGGTGGGGCTGAGCCCCACCTAGAATGTGGTCTTGCTCCCACTGGAAGTTATGGTTGATGGTTCCTTCACCAAAATTACAGGGGAAACCTTTATCAAAAATTTCTCAAGCCCCACCTAGAATAATACCGGGCAGGGGCGGATTTAGGCAGGGGCTTTAAGGGCTGCAGCCCAGGGCCCCCATGCCGACCACACGGTAATCCGACGTTTCGTGCAATCCGAGGTCCAAAAGGAAAACAAGATACGAAGCATCGTATACATTTTCAGTAAGGGACTTTTTTTGATACTTAGCTCGCATTCGGAAACGCAATTTTTAATGCGACTCATATTCACAAGCACTGATCCTTGAACTCGTAGGAGTTGATTGGAGAAGGTTTGCGCTCTGTTTCTTTTGATTCTCAAGTTAGATGAGGAAACAGACGGACGGACAAAACCATCACATAAAGGAAATTTCTTTCAAAAAATTCCTTTAAAACAGAGAGAAAACTCTATTATTCTATTTTCATGAAATGACCGTGCAGGGAATATTGTACGCTACCCACCCCAAGGTACGAGTAATTGGAGCGTGTATCAGACGAAGTTCTACAGTTAAATATTCAACATTTTCCCCAACCAACATTCGTTATCTCATTTGTTGAACTTGAAAATTTGCTTGCATTATTACTTAATGCTAATAAACACCGCTGACGTTTTATTATTTAATAAACTTGGGCGCCATATTTTTTTGTATTTAATTTATTTTTTTATTCTCTTTTTTCTTTTTGTTTTTTTCTTTTTATTTTTTTTCTATTTTATTGTTTTGTTTTGTTTCTATCTTATAATTTTTATTTTATTTGATTTATTATTTGTTTATCTTTATAATTTATTAATAAAAATATACCTAATTGTTGCAATTAGTACCACTGGAAACTTGGTTTCGCCTGCCGCTGTGTACAGATCTACCTTCACTGTTTCTGTGTAATCTGTACTTTTGGAAATTTGAACCCTACTGTATTTCAATATTTTTCATTGTATTTATACTTAGTGCGTTTGCCTTAGACCTGTAATTTTAATAATAATTTTCTGAAGAAATAATAAAATTGAAATGCAATGTTTTTGATAACCCGAAATTCATTAAGTAAGGGGCCCCTACATTAGCCCAGGGCTCTGGTACGCCCCTGATACCGGGCACCCCTGCTACTTCATTCTGACTACGGGCCTGTAGTGATGTGCAGTAGAATCACAATTTACATACCAACATGCAAAAGGATGGAACGTTTTAAGATTCAGTGTCCCCCCACCCCCCCTTCAAAAATTCACTAATACAATTACCTATTCTATTCATTCGAGAGAACTATAATATACAGCAAAAATTTCATCGCGCGCGGTTTCCCCCTCAATGAAACTGTACCCACCTAATCTTGCTTCGACATAGCGAGCAGTTACACCAGTAGCACCTTTCGCAGTGTAGACACCTAAGGCAAGTAATGACATACCAGCAGCTGCGGCGACAACTTTGTCCCAATCTGTTAGAAGTGCATGTGCACCCGAACCAAGCACAGAACCGGCAGTTCTAAAAAAGAGGTATCACTTACGGTGCTTGAAACTTTCAGGTGTAATTACTTTATACTTTCTAACACGGTAACACGATTTTCGGCGGCTTTTAATTTAATTTGCTCCAATATTAAATCGCGGTTCTCACGGTCAACCTTGGCCTTGGCTTTAAGCTCGGCTTCTATTCTTTTCATTTCATTTTGACTGCGTAATTCCATTTCGTGCTCAATTGTCGCCTTTCTCATCGCTTCCTGTTTGGCCACCGATTCCTCTTGCCTAAAAATGTTGAATGAAGTCAGTGCAAATATGCACTTAACACAAACCTTCGCAAGTTTTCTTCGTTAATACGCTGCTGCTGTAGGAGTTGGTCGTCATATCGTTTCCTAGACAACTGATCTTGATACTGTGCGCGTTGCTGATGTTGACGGGTCTCCTCCTGCATATTCTTACGTTTCTCTTCTCCTTCCGTACGTTTCGCCTCAACCTGCATTTGCGCAATACCTGCCTCATATTCCTTAATTTTGGTTTGATACTCGGCTTGTCGTGTTACTTCTTGCAGCTTGGACAATTCCAATGCCTCCTTTGCGTGTTCTTGAGAATTATGTTATTAAAAATAGCAATTACCCAACTAATTCTACTTACTTGACCTTTCGAGTTCTTTAGCTGCTTGTGCGGCACGTTCCAAAGCGGAGGAGTCGAATCTGTAAGCTTCCATTGCCTTTCTTTCACTTTTGGACAACTTGGGTTCATCGGGAGCACCGCCACCTCCATCGCTACTTGCCGGTGGAACCGCGAGACCTAGCTGCGATAAATCCGGCGGTTGCTGATTATTTTTACCGTATCCAAAAAGCCAGGACATGTTCGCTTAGAAATTCGCGTGTGAAGATAAACAGATCAACGTGCAGAAGAGAAATGTAGGTTATGTTCACGTGACCGAATAGTTCAAACGTTACACAGTAGTTCCAATGCAAATTGAGCTGTTTGTATAGGGCGATTCAAATTTATTCGACATTGCACATCCACATTTTTATTTATTACCAATCAGATTTAATTTTAACTTTAACAGCGTCTTACAACTAAAGGAAATTCGAAACTTTTGTTGTTTGGAACTCAATTTTTAAATTTCATGTTGTTTCGATTTTAACTTTGATTGCTAATGTTCTAGCTTGACCTCGTTGTGCAATTCCCTTTTTTTAAACGGACGCCCGTCAGCTTAAAAATTTTTGAATTGTTTTTCTCAAACGATGTTGATAAAGATACTCTAATGCTTCCATAAGTAAATGGGCAAGGAATTGTCCTACTCTTTCCTGATCGACAGTAAAAATTGATCAAGGCTCTAAACTAGTTCACACCCTGCAAGCGATTTCACTTACACCAGAAAAAAACAGCTTACTGCAAGCCTTCCTCCCCTTGTTCTCCTTCCATCTCATTTCCTCATGCACAGAATGTCCTCATCAGGTCCGCCAACACAGTGCTTCTGTGTACTGAAGAGGCCCTACATTTCATTGATAGAAAATATTTTTATTTATAAATAAAACATATACCTAATAATACAACATATACAAAACATATAGTTACACTTATACAATTGAGTTGCCAATTTGAGTATTTTAAGTTGGTGGGGTAGCGTGAGTAGAGCGTCGCCTTAAAAATGTTCTACCTCCTGTTGGTAACTGTCGAGCTAATAAAATGAGAGAGGATGCTAACGCTAGCTTCATGGGTGGGCTCTGGCCACCCGGCATATTTACAAATACTGTTGCGACTGCGGCTAAACCGTCCTCTGTAACAAGCAGATGGAATAGTAACATTATAACACTCTCGCAATACATAGTAAAATTTAACTGATATCCTTGAGCTGGGCCCAAAGTATAATTATAACCTGCCAATGTTATATTTGGTCCTTTGTTCAAATCAGTAAATTGGTCAAAAATGAGGTTTGATTGGTAGTTTTGGAATATTAACCAATCAAATTGACTATGTAAGATGATATTTGTATTTTTTCAAAATTATTGACTTTTATAGAACGCTTACACAAAAAATCTCACTCCACAATCATAGACACGTTTTTAATGTCAGTGACTCTATAGAAGCATTGAATAAAAACACTATAAGAAGCATAACCCCGTGGAAATAAAGCGCGACAGAGATTGAACTGAGAATATAATGGGAACACTGTCGATAGTGTCGATTCTTGAACTGAGAAGAATGAAAATTTGCTTTCCCCCTATTTACCTCAAAGAGAGTTCGGGGTCCCAACCAATGCGGTTACAAGGGGATATGTCGCGCTTTCTTCCATAAGCGTTAGGCTTCTTATAGTGTTTTTATTGAATGATAGAAGACAGTGTGGCCATACAGTGGTGTTATTTTCTATTGGTAGTGGAAGATCTGCCATTTTTAACCAAATGCATTGGAGTGGTGGAAAATCGGAATCGATTGTGAGAATAATCTGTCCTATTGTAAAAAGGCTGTAACAAACGAGCCCAAAGGTGATATCTAGCAACCTTTGGACTCATTTGTTTCAGCCGTTGTACAATAGGACAGATTTTCGCGAATATTGTTTTAGTATTGTAGTTGTATATTCTCAATTCTGATAAATGAATCAATTCAAGGACAAATTTGTAAGAACTATGGCGGACATGGAGCATATGGCCACACTATCCCTATACAGTCACTGTACATTTAGCGCATTCGCACCAAGTGCCCACATGCCGGAATTACATTTTCAATTGCGTTTACATCCGTTTATGCGTTTTTAAAATGCCGCCACCGATTGACAAACCCGCCTACTGTCTCATATTTTGTCGTATTTTAATGAAAATACAGATGTACCACTTAGGTCTTAGATTAAACAAGCAAGTAACAAAAACGTACCGGTAGGTTCAACCGCAACTGGCCTTAGATCATAGTGAGTAGCTTTCCTTGGCTTCGGTTTGGCTGCAAGATTTAAGGTGACACTTGCGAAAGGTCGCTTGGCCATATGCAACATTTCGACAACATGTCTCCGTCTCGCCCTCCGAACGTCGGCCGCCTGTTTCGCCTTCCAGGCGACGACGCAAGCTGCCAAAAATAAGAAGAAACACGAAAAGAACACAGAGAAAAACACAAAGAGGTCAATGTGTAGTTGATCTTGTCTAAAAAATACAATTCCATATGAAACTTTTTTATCCAATTCGGGACTGTCGACGGCTTGCAGAACTAAATAAAATCGCGTCGATTCTAAACTGTGATGCTCCTAAACAAAAGAAAATAACTTTCAATCGCTCGCTATCTTTAAAACATACCTCAGGTAACGTAATTACCAATCGATCCTTTAAACCTTTTAATGCCAACATAGTTTTTGGCTGTTCTACTGTTATGTAAGTTCGTAAACCGATTGCGTCTTTCTCGAATGTTACGTCATCAGTTTTCTGAGATCCGTTTTCCCATAAACCGTATTGTGGATCAAAGTCAATTTCGTGAAATCCACTGGTTGCGTTAGGAAAAACAACATAAGTATCGTCATGGGTGCTCATAAATACATTCAGTTTGCCTTGAGTGACATCTATCATTATTCGAATATCTACATTCATGAACCTGGGCTGTACGACAAAGAATACCATTTCGCCTGGATGTAAAGGTTTCGGTTTCATCTTGCATTCATCTGGTAAGAGAAAAGTTACAATTGATGCGATTTATAGTTTACAGCTACCTATCGGTTTAGCATCAAAGCACATTTTTGAATCGACCGACATTTGTTTGTAGCACTGATGACCCGCTTTCGGCGTGCCTATGTAACCTTCTTTGCATTTTGAACATTGAAGCATCCAGCACGGTTGAGCCGAGTTCTTTCCGGACGGTCCCGAAGGGCAGATGTCGCTTTCAGTGTTGTTTTTGCAATTGCATTTTTCGCCAGTAACGGGATCACATATGTCTCCATGACCGTGACAATCGCACAGTCTACAGGGGTCTCGATGATCTTCCGATCCACGAAAGTAGCCTAAAATAATTATTTTGCAATATGAAGACTATAAGAATTGACCCAACCCAACCAACCCAATTACTTCTAAAGTCAAAAGGTGTCACATAAAATTTAGTTAAAGTTCAATCTTCTACTATTTCCTTGAAAAGGTACACAAACATAATTTACTGGTGTCAGAAGTGGAATACGTAAAAAAACGTTGGTATAGTGCATAACAAAGATCGATAGGAAGTATCGGCAGAACTTCTTTAAACACTTTCTGGGATGATTGCTGTCACTATCCATGAATCTACAGGGCAATTTCCTACCAGGAAAGAAAGAACATTATCTCCTCAACCCAGGCCAGCACAGTTCTCGATGCCACCATATTGTGCTGTCAACTGAACCACTATTAGGGACTTTAGTCGGTAAAATGAGTAAGTTTGCATATTGGACTAGCGCTTACGTTGATATTGAGGTTATACATCTTTACCGGAAACGGAAGTTGCTGCGCCAAAAAGAGATAGCAACAGGTTCGGCATGTTTGTCACTGGGTTGACGCTTTTAAGTAGATGTTCTCCATTCCTTCACAAACATGCCTTACCTGCTGTTATCTCGTAGAGCGTCATTCTTGGTTCACCGCCCGCGGTTCATAAAACTAGAAACCTACTTGCTCTTGAACCCAAATGCCATGTGTTAGAACGGCAAAGATGTATAACCTCATACCCATTTTCTGCCTTGATGTTTCCATACAAAGTAATGACCACACCGTATATTTTTTAAGTCGACCAGCTTTGCTGAACACCCGGTATCTAGAAACGGTTTAAGTTGGGCGCTTCGTTACTGAGAAATTATAGTTTCTGATTTTACTTATTTGCTCAAGGAGACGACGAGTGAGCTTTGTGTGTTTTATTTATTAATTGTTTGTCTTGTTTGTCTTGCCGCCGATAGCGAACGTAAATTTCGTAGCGAATTCACCCGTTTTGCAATCGTTCCTGTAGGAATATTTAAATTGTTTTTACAGACCCCGAAAGTTCTTTTGTGTCATTTGTTTTAACCCGTCAGATTCTTGGAGTTGCTATTTATACCGGTTCAGTTTACACCCACAGGCTACTGAAACCGACCTGCCAGAGTGCTGCTACCGCCGACCTCGACCTCGACCAGGTGCGAGGCCATACGCCAATAAAGACTAAACTGTCATTTTGATGCCACTTGCAATACATACGCAGACCGCATAAAATTCCGCGACATTCACCAGATAATAATAAGAATAATAATATATATATTTGCCCAACAGTACAACCAATTATAGAGCAAAATAATCAAACATACAGAAAAATCCCATTTTATCATTAAACACACTTACGTAGTCGTATAGACAAAAAAAAAGTTAGAAATGATGATAAAGTTACTTATTTAAACACATCAGAAATCATTTGGAGGGAGTTGTAATTAATATCAACCATAGAGGATCTACTATTCAAAAACGAGCATATAGCATTCATAGGTGAATGAAGAGCCAAATTTGACTTTCCTGCTCTGCAATAAAAAATAACGTTCTGTCGTGTATTTGCTCGTGGTACATTAAAATTCAAGGTAGACAATAAAAAAGGTGAATCGATGTCGTTATGAATAAGTTTATTAATAAATTTTATAATCAACATAATACAAAAAAGATAATTTACTGTCGAACAGTACACCTACTAGTACACCAGATGGCAGGAGAATCGATCGCACGAAAGGGCATATTGCCAAAGTCTGTAGGTCTAATCCAAAGCAACGAACAGGTTACCGAAAAAGAGAAGCCCGACGACACTGTCGAAGATGTGCCCCGTTTAACAGAGTCGAACTCATCAGAGCAATCCAGTCTACGTTTGCTAGATGTCAACTTCGCGAGCTACACTGCTCATCGCATCAATTGTATTGGAAGATTTGGGTCAGCGCTTCAATTGATCTATCTCGACCTCTACATCGTCGATGATGCAATCATGGCCGAGAGTGAATCTCACAGTTCGTGCAAGAAGTCATATCTCTCTGGAAGGTGTCAACAAGTAGAAATTAAATTTAAAACCGGTTCCACTATTGCAAAATTTTTATCCACAGCTTTGCCTGTTAATATGGGGGTTCCACAAGGATCTGTTTTAGGACCTATTTTATTTTTATTATTTATTAATGATATTGTCATGTTCTTAAATTGCTTGGTTTTATATGCGGATGATACGACGGCATTAATATCCGGAAAAAAGTAAGAAAATATATATCCAAAAGCTGTTGAGATTCTAAATAAGCTAAGTAATTGGTTTAATGTTAACAAATTATTCTTAAATCACGATAAAACATTGTTCCTACCGTTTACAACTTTTGGAAATAACCATTTTCCTGGCTCAAGCAACAAAAACATTAATATTTTAGGCACTGGGAGGTTTCTGGGGATCTATTTAAATCAAAAGATAAATTGGAAATGTCACTGCGAAAATCTTATTAAAAGACTAAATACTTATTGCTACCAGATACGGAATCTTAAAGAATTAATGGATGTGAACCATACTTTAAATTATTACTTTGCTCAAATTCAGTCCAGACTGTCGTATGGAATAATTGTTTAGGGCTCGTCAAGCGCGGCAAAAAATGTTTTTCTGGTACAAAAACGAATAGTCAGATGTATTGCGGGTAGTAAGAAATTTGATTCGTGTCGCCCGATATTTAAAAAATTGAATCTTCTTACACTTTCATCACTCTATATACTTGAATTGTTAACTTTTATTTTCCATAATCAGCAACATTTCTTACGCCATAGCAATTTTCATAATTACAACACGCGCAATAAACAACAATTTATCATCCCTTTAACAAGGCTTAAACTTGCCCATAATTCTCCCACGTCAATGGGCATTAAATTATTTAATGCTCTTCCAAGTACACTTAGAAGTCAGGGAACAATAAAGTGCTTTAAATCTTCTTTAAAAAAATTTCTTCTAGTCAATGCACCATATACAATTGATGAATTTCTAAATTGTATTGATTGAAATTGCGGATCTCTAGTGTAATTTATATTGCATTCTTTCTTTTTTGTCCATTGTATTGTGTATGACCAACATTTTTTAAATTGTATTTAATTGTATTTTTTTGTGTCTGACGTATCCTATACAATTCAAAATTTCTCTTGGGAATTAATATATATTATTATTATTATTATTAAACTCCAGGAAATTTTTGCACAACCACGCTCAATCCACAAATGGACCTCTGAACAGCAAAGTCTGTTCCCAGACCAGCAGAAAGAGCTCGGTGTGATCCTCAACCGCTACGACGACGTCTTATGACACCTTACCTGCAAAAAGATGGCGCCACGCCCATCTTCTCGAGAGCATGTGATGTTCCTGTAGCCCTATGAGCAGCTTACGCTAAGGATATTGAGGTCAGGATCGCATGGGGATTCTACAAGAAGGTAGACTACTACAAGTGGGCGTCAACAATACATATTGTCATGAAGAAGAACGGCGTCGAATGGAAAAGGTGCTGCAGGACCTCTCCAATGTCGTGAGTTTACATTATAGTACTTGCCGACGGTTTCGGAAACCTGATGCAGGCTCTCGCCACAGCGTTTCCGCCAACATGGTCTGAAGCTCAACCGAGCAAAGTGTAGCTTTATCTAGCCTGTCCTGAAAGTCCTATGACAAAATCGACGCAAATCGCGTTCACAAGTCAGAGGCCCATATCAGAGCTGTACGAGATGCGCCAAAGCCAACGTCCCCAGAAGAACTCCAGTTGTTGTTGAGTAAAGCCACCTGTTACAGCGCCTTCACCTCTAACCTTTCAATAAGCATTGATACAGATCCTGCATCCCCCAAAAATCGCTTCCAGTCCTTTATGGTTCCTTTTATCCACCCACCAACCAGATCCAAAGCTCAACTTAAGCAGAGAGGGAAGAGAAAAAGGAATTCGACGATTTTGACATGTTTGTACTTCATCAAATGCCGCAGCTTGTCAAAACAACTTTCGCATGCGATACCAGAAAGGATCCTCACCTAGGCAAAATCATCCAACTTTTGGCGGAAGGACAAGACCTTTCTCGCCACAACTTCAAGGCACCTGAGGTAAAATATGCACTTGCCGCTAACAGCCTATACTGTATTCATTTTAAGAAGGTAGGAAGCATAGAGACGGTTTGACCTTCAATGTGATTGGTTAAAACACAAGTCAGTATTACTCTGAAAAATGAAATGAATGACAAATTCTGTTTGTTAGAAGTTTTGGTTACGAACTAAACTGTCGAACTGCCATTAGCTGCCATTAGCTGTCAGTTTCAAAGAATTTATATTTATATTCTTCAAATTTTGTGCCGTTTTATATTTTTCCTGTGTGTACCTATATTCAAACACAGCGCCATCTACTACCTTCTTATAATGAATGCAGATAGTGTTTGAGCATCGAGTACCTAGTGGTTCCACCGACACTACGAGACGGCATCCTGGAACTTGCATGCCGATCACCTAGGAATTATCAAAATGAGAGGGATGGCTATTCGATTGTATTTAGACCATGCATGCCTCACCGAAATTTTGTAACCACCACTGGGAGTACCCGAAGGCGCCATGGGAACATATCCACATTGACTATGTGGATCCATCCAGTAGCAAACACAATGCCGCTCATTGTGGTAGATGCCTATAGCAAGTGGTTTGAGGTCAAACTGATGACCTCCACAACGGCAGACGCCACTACTGCAGTGATCGATGACCTGTTTACTGCTCACGGTGCTCCAGTCATTGTAATCTGAGACAATGGTAGACAGTTCATCGCCGTGAACAGTGGCGTAAAAGATCACAAACGGACAGCCATATCATCCATTCACCAATGGGCAAGCAGAGCGCCCGTCTGTTGTTGTCTCAACAAGAAAATTTTGGGTTTGATATGCTACAGTGAACGTCATAAAAAGAAAACCATTTAAAGGTGCTTTTACATAAAAATCACGAATTGCTGGGGGTTAGTGTGTCAAATATTTGTTTTGCTTAAATTATTTATTCTAACTTACGCCACTAGTAGCTCCCTCTTATGGAAAAATAAAATCTGTTTACATGAACTTATTAAATGAAGGTCATACTTACCAGTTATACACTCGTCACACCGAGTGCCAGTTGTATGATTAGCGCAATGTAAACACTGAGCTGAAAATTTCGGACCCTCCTTTAAATATCTGGCGATATCTTCCAAGTCCATGTCATCCGGAGGAACTAAGTCCGTGCTATTGTCTATGCACACAGCACTGTGTCCATTGCAATAATCCGAACACGGCACGCACTGTCCGCCATTTGTAGGATCTCCAACGAATAACGGTTGACACTTTTCACATTGTGGCCCCTTGAAGATTCAAAGCCGTTAGAGAGACGGTGAAGTTTGTTACAATTGGATGATGAGCGACACAAATTAGTTACTGAACTTACCATAGTATTATTAAAACATTGTATGCATTTATCCAACTTGTCAGGCCCTTCACAGTTTGCGTGACCATTGCACTGACATTGAATACTGCAATTAGCGCCAACATAGCCAAAGTCGCAAAGACATTTGTTAGGCTGTACGCACTGACCACGCACACATCCTAAGACAAATACAAAAGCAGTATGTTAGTCAAATATGCAACAAACAATGTGTTCTTATCGTACAAATGAAATTACCTTGTTTGCAAACAGGCTCGCAACCGGTCGTCCCCGCTTTGTAACCTGGACCGCAAACACACTGAAAACCTTCCTCCAAATCAACGCACTCCTCTGACTCAACGGCGCAAGTGTGATGACCGTTCAGGCATTCGTCTTCCGGTGGACATTTAACATAGTGCCATGTGTAAGTAATATTCACATCTAAATCTGTATGCGTTTCCTACAATAAACTCGTAAATACATCTAATGGACGGCCATTAGTAACGAATTACCAAAACCAAATCCTGCTCCCCGTACACGTCATTGCAAGTACCTAACATGGGGTGTTCGTTCGATCCTTCCGTACATATTCCGGCGCCAGAAGTACCGGGCGCAGCACACCAGCCGCAGTAAGCGTGCCTTAGACAACTGGAGCATTGCGTGAATGAGCTGCACGGTTCCGGGCAGTATTGTCGATCGTCAGTTTGCAAAACAAGACCGCAAACGCCGCCCGCACAATACATGGGTTGATAAGAGGCGGAAATGCACTCGTCCAACTGAGTGGACCACCGACAGTCGGCGACATCTAAGCATGAGCTGCAAGATGTATAATGCGTACACAAATATGGGCAGGTGGATATTGCGTTCGCTTCTTGTTCTTTCAGCACTGAAATCTAATAGTTTTACCATTGTGATATGCTATAAATAGACCACCTTTAGATTAGAAATTCATTTTGAGCAAATGGGACAACATTTTTATAGTTTAGCGACAGCATTAAATAAATAATTTACAGAAGATTCCACGCAATATATGAATATATTAGATGTTGAAAAGCAATATCTGCGCTCCTCTAAATTCAAGAATAGTGTATTAAATTCCCTGCCTCGTTCCTAGTAAATGTTTTTCATCTACATCGGTCATTACGTTATTATAAAGAAAAGGAATTACAGGGTGTTAATACTAAGTTTTTACACCCGAAAACGGCAGTTAGAACTCATTAAAACAAACAACTTTTCTTAGTTCCAATTTTTGATTTGGTGTCCCGGTTTCAAGTTATTGGCATTCTTTTGTTTTTCAAAAAATCGTTATAAGTACGATACTATTTTGTTTTTCTTAAAAAATCAATTGTTTCCCTACAAAAAAGCAAACTAAATTGTGATCTAGTAGCGCTTCAATGTTTTACAATCGATGCTATTTTTTCCCAAATATCAAGTAGCGGTAGACACAAAAGAAACAATTAAACTTTATTTTGTAATAAACTTGATATTTGCACAAAAACAACATCTAGTGTAAAACATTCATGCGCTACTAGATTAAAAGTTTGCTTTTTGATAGGGAAAGCACTGATTTTTTAAGAAAAACAAAATACTATCGTAAAAAGAAAAGTTGAAAGTCGTCATTTTGAAATAATTCGCCCAATTGAAAATCTGATATCACCATCGTGTAGAGAATGTTCTGAAACATATTACTGGCAAATATTGTGAAAGTAGTTCAAAGTTCAAACTCGATTTTCTTCTTCATTTTATTTGTATCATGCTTGTTTTGAATGCTGGCTACAAGTTAGTGTTGCTACCTATTTCTACACCTCTCCATACTTTAACATCTAGGACTGCACTCCTCGTCCCTCTTGTATAAAGTCAATAATTGATTCTTCTCCTCGGTTGTTATTTTGAGTATGTTTATGTGTTAGTAGAAACCAAAAATAAAACTATTTATCTAATTAGAAAAACTCGATCGGTCTTTGTCCATTGTTTTCATCACATTTTCCCCATGTTTCCCTAGTAATATTATTGAAATCCTCTGTCCCTCTATATTTTACTATCCGTGTAAACTCTTCTCAGAAAACGTCTTTAATTTGCACTTTCTCGTCCTCCATTTTGCGACGCTTATTGATAAGACTCGTTCCATGCAAGAAAATTTTCTCCCCACACCTGAATCGTCCGCCACTCCCACTCGGGACGCAACGCCTACCGACAAACCAGTCAAGATTCGACCAAAATGCGAATATTTCCATGATTTATCCATCGAGAAGTCATGCAGGCGGTATCTTACTCCATATCCTACCACTCTGAAGCAAATCCCGTGGGACATTGACACTCAGGTTGCGATACTAACTACCGAATCACACACTACATGGAAAGATCAACTCCCCAGCATCCAGTTCGCCGTGTATCAGCTGCCACCTGTTACATCGCAGCATTCCTAACCTTTGGTAGAGAATTTCGGACTACGGATGATGTTCAATGTAACCTCCAAGGCATGATACGACACCGCGGTCGCACAAAGAAGCTAGAAGATTTTCACGTCCATGAGTAAGATGTCGCCCCGGACGGTTGCTCCATCCCAAAGGCTGTATGACATTGTGCATTTTCTTGTATCTTCTCTAATATCGTTTCTGATACAAGAAAAAAATGCATAGAGTCACACAACAAAGTTTCTTGTACAAGAGTTTGTGTTTTCTTGTAAAAGAATTGCGCCAATTTCTGCGCAAAAGTTTAAAACGCAACCTTCGACCATATGGGATGGGTTATGCGAATGTTTGTTACAGATCATGTCTAATTTGTATATCTTTTGAATACCCCTCGTATAGCTTGAAATTGTTTGTCGTAAATAGGTAGACTGGTTTGCAAGATTATAGCGGGACCTTGGGGATATTGTAATCATTTGTGGGTTTTCGAAAGGACATTTTAATTTTGCTGTGCGCATCGTATCGATTATGTCGAGTACCTATAGTATTTAATACGAAATTAAATTCGTTGTAATTATTAACATCGTCAAAAGCCGTTTAAAATAAAAATCGAAAAGCAGGCCGCTGTTTGTGCGGTAAGTTGGTTCACACCAAAACGAAGAGGGGTATTAATAATGCGAGGGTTTAATTTCCGTTTTATTTTAGGCCTTAAAGTTTGAAATAATTATTGCCTAATTCAGTTTGGGAAGCATCGGACGTGAATTCGCGGTTTGTGAAACAACCGTAGATCTTTGAAGGTTTGCCGCCAGTCACGAAAGAAACGATACAATAAAATAGAAGACATTTTCTATATCAGAAATAATAGTAAAAATTATGCAATAAAATGCATAGTGCCATACAGTCTTAAGGGGGTGGATATAACGCCATGCCCAACTAATAAGCTGCATAAGTTTGTTTTTGTTTGATTGTTTTGTTGTTATATATAATCATATAATAGTTAAAAACTCCTCATTTGGAGTATAAACAGTGTTAGTAGGTGTTACTATGGAGCCAATCAAATGCCTTAATATTCGTATCAAAAATACATAATCCTGAGACATTTTTTGTGCAACCAAACCGTGGTGCTTTAAACAATACATAAAGTTCATTATGGCACCCTAATTCATGTATTGTACCTTATTAGTTTAGATCTCGGTTTAGATTTTTGTGTAATTTTATTTTGACGATTGTATGTAACTTTTTCTGTTACTTAAACATAATAAAAGTTATTATTATTATTATTAATAGAGATTTGAATTTCCCGCTTGTAAATATTACATAAACTCACCTATGCCACTGTTTTCAATACCAATTCACAAGAGTTTCTCATCTAAAGGTGGTTTATCAATGGTGATATACTTACAAGGTTCACATTTGCGTTTTGAATAACTCCAATCGCAACCATAAAGCTGGTGGCACTGAATGCAATCGGTAGCCGAACACATGTTATACGGGCACTGTGACAGTGAACCAGCAGCATCAACGCTGCAAGTTTTATTCGCAAGGCACATGTTATTGCACCACTGACATCCGACCACTTGCACGCAAGTGGTACAGTCCTCCAATGACACACAATCGCTAGTTATTATGCTTCCGTCGCAAACTCTTCCTCGATTATCTTGAACTTCAATGCCTGCATCACAATCAATTAGTACACTTTATACATGACATCGTTATGATCTAACCCGCTTCCGAAACGACCAACGGGCACTGCGCCTTCGAATTATCATAGCAGATCTCTTGGTGTTTGTCATTTCCTTTGGACAGCGAGCAATGTCCGCAGCCGGGAATTTGTAGACAGTGATGCCTTTGTTCCCACAGAGAGCAAAATTCGTGAGGCAGTTGAATTTTCATAACGGAACAGTCGCTGTCGCTACCCCACCCACCCACAACGTACGCTGTGTTACCGTCCGGCTCGATTGTCATGGCAGGGGCGTACGTTTGTGTGGGCAGCGGACCCACCTTCTGCACACCTAATAAGATAGCAAATTCGGTGACTTTAAGTCAAACTGAAAATCATTTGAACAAGGTTTGTTTTTTGGCCATTTTCTATCCGTTGATACGTAAATGCATGTTGGAGCAACCTCAAGAAAACCAATAAATTTATATATGTAATTTATGACTTGCTGGTTGGTTTCTTTGTAGTTGTTCCAACTAAATGGACAGCCAAACGCGATGAATTTAAAATACGATATATTGAAATAAACGTCTTTTTCCATTGTTAATATTCATTAATCAATTAGCACTACTGCCAAAGCAATAAGTACGTAGACTCAAGTTTGAGGTCTAATTAAAAAAAAAAGGTTTTTGCTCTAAAGCGAGTAACTTTAGCGCTTTTCCATGCATTGATCAGTCTCACAAACGCCAAAGGCCATAGCTATGTGAACTATGTTTTTCTTTATTAGAAGCATCTATGGTTAAAGTTTTAAAGAAATGGTTTCATAAATAAGTACGTAGGTATTGGACAATCTGCGCATGCACACATCTAATTTTTGCGGTATGCAATATGTTTGCCTCAGAGACTTGCTATAACTAGACTGCGCTTAACGTATCTAAGGTGTTGTCGACACAGTATGCAACACACAATCCATCGCGGGGCAAAAATCGCAGAGATGATATGTAATATAATGAAATAAGCTGTTATTTTAGATGCTCCGTTCATTAATCATTCTCGTGATTAGCTCGAATTAGTGAACAGATAAATTTCTGTTGAGAATAAACCAATAAACTTAGGTTAACTCGTGCCTATCAACATGTACTCTGTCGATAAATTTTTAAATTATATGCTGATTTTCAACGGATAAAAGTTTAAAGGGCAAATGGATCAGAGCCATTCGAAGAGAAAAATTTACTCCCACCATAGTGCATTTGCGGGGAATGAAGCCGATTTTAAAAAGGTACCTACGAAGGTGTTAAACAATAATGCAATACCGAGCGTTTTCGACTTTCCCATTCACTTAAAATAACGTAGAACTATTATTCGACATCCTTTACCAGCAAGACAACGGCAGTACCTATTTGCCTATTAGGTATAGACGTAACTAAGTACTTACTGGTACTAAGTATATTTCAGGTTTTGTTACAAGAAAAATAGCTAAGTCTGTTAAATGTGTTCAGGTTTTTCATTCAATCCACACCACACCGCGTTGTAAACAAAATGGTTATCAGCAGTCTAAGAAAAATAAATAACAGTTACAGCCCATTTGGGTTTTTGGATAGGCATATATTGAATCAAAATCCGCTAAATAATCATATCTTACTACTTACATCTTTAGTTTTAAGAGTATATTTTCCCATACGTGTTCACCACCAAAATACACATATAAATCAAATTAGGACTAGAGTAAGGCAGTTATATACCAATTTAGTTCAAATAAAATACCAATAAATTCGATTAAAACAGTTAACAGCTATTTGTTACCTTTTTTTGCTACTAAAATTTAGAATAAACATGGCTAAAGCAAGCTGCAGAACGTACGTCTGCCCCGCGGTGAACAGTTGGTTGCCTATCCTATCTTGACAACAGGCGTTTATAGTAAAACCTACGTTACGCGCGGTCTAGTTATAACAAGTCTCTGGTTTGCCTTTACTAAAAGCATCTGTGATTAAAATTTGAAAAAATATCTTCATAAATAAGAAAGACTGCACATGCCCAGACCTGAATACGTTTACAATATGTGATATGCTTGTCAAATATTTTCTATGCTGACTGTACAATTATACCCGGCTTCATTTAATACCAAGCTCGTTCAAATCTGTCAAAAAAATTTTTTTATTAAGCCTCAAACTTGAGTGCTGACATTTGTAGCGATTTACGTTGAACCTCTACAATACAATCATGTCACCATAGACAATGCACTTACTGCATGGAGAAGAATTTGATTACCTAGAAAACTTACCTTCAGAAAGTAAATTTATCCACTGATTGCATTTGTAAGAATAAGCGTAAAAAGTGTCAGAAACGTTCCATGGCCAAATTCGCCCGCCTAATAAAAACATGTGAGTGTCTGTTGTAACAGTTGAATGAAAGTATCGTCCCCTCGGCTGAAAATCGGACCGTTAACACATGCATCGCGCACCTATATTTACAACTATACCAAACCAAAAGTGGAAGAAAATGTGTTGAGATCAGTCCAGGTACGGCTATCGTAGCTCAGCCTGTATAACTTATTGGATAACACCGACTGTTGCTCCATGTACTCATATCCGCCAAATACGTAAAAACTATTCGATGGGTTGTGAAAGACGGTGCTATGTCCGAATATTCCCAACGGCCCGTTTCCTTTGACATGCCACGAATGCCACTGCTCCTTGTCCAGTCTGTACTCCCAAACCTCGCTGAGGAAACCTTGCTGCGGTGATACACCTCCGATTAACACCAAACTTTCAACTGACGCATTTCGATACGAATTTAATGTGTGTCCGGCAACCAACGGCGGCCACTTTACGTCTTTCTCGATCTCCTTCCAACGCTGGTTTAGAATATCGAACTGCCAGAAGTCGTCCAATGTTCGATTCGGCGACGTCTTGGCCGCCTTAGTTAAACCGCCGTAGACGTATATCGCCTGCTTCGAGTGGACCAGATCGGCGGAATGGAAGTAGCGACCTTGCGGCATTTTCGCGTCGGGCGTCGAGTCTACGGTAACCTGCGTCCAGGTACTGTTGCGAGTATCGAACAAACGAATGTCGTTTAACGGTCCGTGCGATAGGGAATAACCGCCAAACATCCACAGAGAACCCCTCCGATCGGCCGCCAACGCGTGACCGAATCTGGGTAGCGTTTTTCTTAAATGTTCCAAGTTATCGGCGAGATGAATCGTATTGAATAGTTCGGTGAATACGATCTGTTTTCCTGATAACCTGTAACAATAAATGGTTATAACCAGGGTTGATTTCAACTGTCTTATTATCGGTTTCTATAACATAAGTTGGTAGATTTTAAGAGACCATGCATGTTTGTGAAGAGTGTCACTAGCTGATATGCCTTTGACGTTTATGACATAATCAACATTTGAAATCAATAGAATCTCTCCAGCAAAAAAGAACCTTGCGGATTGGATGCGCGATAAATACATAAGTATGTACAAAGGCTACTTAAACAAGAGAAAACATTGAAGCATTGAATTTGTTGAATTACAAATTTCTATTTAACATTCCATTGCTAATGTAACGTTAATTCTACACAGATTTTATCCTTTACCTTTAAGTGTAATTTGATCTATGTACCTAAATAAGTAAAGGAAAGTTCACTAGGTCATGGAAGAGATCATATTATAATATAATGTGTCTCGAATACCTATGATTATGGCTTCTGATAATGCGCTTCATGATAGAAGCCCCCTATAGCCTCTTTACGGAACTAAATAAGCGGTTAACTGTCCCATTTACTGTGTTTATCTAGTCATCAATAATTCATTGACGATTCATTAGAGTTCTAAATGAATTTGAAGAAATGCAAATATTTTGAAACACCACGTATAATTTATTAAAATAATTGCATTATACTCCCTGGAAACGCTTGTTAAATCAATATTATCAAGAGAAATAGTTACCATATCAACAAAATAACCTTAATCAGTACATATTGCACATGTTAGTGACAAATGTCATAAACGAAACATGGTCCAATTCGAAGATTCACATAAACTTCCATCGTTCGAGGAAAATACCTCCAAGCCCCAAAAGCAAACGCTTCTCTCACGATACCAAATACCTATTAATCATCTTGACTTTGCTTATGTAAAAGCATGCACGAACGCGAAAGAAATCGAAAGAATTTACAGAATCTTGCAATCCGGTGAAGAAGGTCATTTTCCGGACTTACTAAAAACAACCGAAGAAAGACTGAAGTTACTGAAACCAAACAGTAAGTACATACAAGAAATTTGTCCAGTATTGAAGGTAGACGAAGTTCCAAAAGAAGAATGGAATCGCCTATCAAATGAACTATGCGACTGGATGGAGGACGCCAACAAAAAAGACGAGGAGTTAAACGCGGCGAAAGTGTCAGAGATCAATTGTGATGTGGAGATACGCAAAACAAAATCGGATTACAAACCGGCAGCGCAATCGAATCCGAAACGAATCGCATCCACCGACTACGAATCTTGGGATAAATACGACCCGGAGACAGAAATATTAAAGATGGATCTGCGAGATGAAAAAGAACGAAACGAGGCACTCAAGAGGCAAACCAAGTTAAAACAGGAGAAGACCGTGCGTTTTAGCAATTTCGCAACTGAGGCCGAAGCAATTTATGAAGCGAATAGCGAAAGAGAACGCGGTAACGAGTGTTTTAAGGCGGGCGAATTTAAAATGGCCTTGAGGCACTATACGCAAAGTTTGCAGTGCAAACCAACCGCCTCCGGTTTCACAAATAGGGCCATAACATACATTAAGTTAAAAAAATTCCAACTAGCCATCAACGATTGTAAACAAGCGCTTAATTTAGATCGTCAATGCTTCAAAGCGCACTTAAGATTAGCCCAAAGCTATGAGGCGTTAAAACAGTACGAAGCAGCACTAACACATATCACTACTGCCGTACAAATAGATCCCAATAACACTACTGCGCAAGATATCGCCAAACGTTTAGCAAGCTATGGCCCAACTGTCAATAAAATAAGACTGACAATCGAAGATGTCGAATCTACTAAAATGAAACCATTGACATCAATCCTGAAATCTTCAACTGAAATTAGTGAAAAAGAAGTCATTTCGATTCCAGGGAGCAGCACCATGCCTCCACCGTTCTACGTTGAAGTACCCACCGCCGATCCCAAGGTGGTCGAGAGGGAAAAGCGAAAAATTCTTTCTGCACCACAGCTACTTCATATGACCACTATTGATCCGCCATCCGATGAGGAGCGTGACTGTGAATCTCGAGAACCTCTGGATCTGGATCAGGATGATTGCGCGATATCCGCCAAAGAAGGGTGTCTGAAACGCAGCAAATCCGAAACCGACATCACAGCCACTGGAAAAGGTGTAACGTGTGAAGAAGGTTCCAAAACTGACTTATTAGCTGATACGGAAAGTGATCAAAAGGTTACTTTTTAATTTTCCGTGCATATTTTACATAATTAATCTTTAAGGTTCAATGTGATGATATGGGTGGAAAAGGAGAACCTTACAGTCGACATCAAGAGTTTGTAATTACAGAGGAAGATGTACAAACGCCTTATATGTTTACAACGATATGGAATTCGGTAAAGAACGACACCACCTATACACACCAGGCAGAAATTTTGCGGAAAGTCGATTTTGAGAGAATCCACGAAGGTACTTTTTTTAATATAAGTAGTTTATTTAGAATCCGTCATTCCTCTTACTGATGCATTTATCTGTCGGATACCTTTATTGAACTTACCTATCAAACAAAATTTAACTAAAAGATGAAAGACCGAACTTTTGAATAATTAAACAAAAATACCGAGTTGGTACCCAACCAAATGCGTTCATTAATGCTTTGAGAACTCAAGGGCATCTTGATAAATGCCCCTACAAACTGGTTTATTTATTTTTATTTATTTATTTATTTACACCTCTCTTGTTTTGGGGCCTCAACAGGCATGCGCCCAATTACAGAGTGACCCGCATAATGCTATTTAGAGGTGCCTCTGCAGAAGGTGTTAAGTTGGTCTGTACTACTCCGGTATTTACCTTACGAATTAGGAAAACTGCAGGAAAACCTAATTCGGAGTAGCCGGTAGAATGCTCGGAACTGGTGTAAGGTAATTTCCATCTCCACCACAGATGAAAAATTCACCGCAACCCAGGTTCGAACACCCGACCTCCGAATTTATGCTTAATATAAAATATTGATTAGTAACGTTCCCCATCATTTTTATTAGTACAACACTTGATCCCCCCTCCCCCTTTAGATACAAAAAATATATAAAAAACTACACCATTTATGCAGCATAGAACATTTAAATGAGCGTTTTATAAAAAATTTGCTGTGGCTACCACAGATACCACCCGCACAATTCTGACTAAATGTATTTCAGTTCTTAGTGAAGTGTCCATAGAACATATGTACAAAATTCGCTTCAATTCGAAGCAGTAGTTTAGCCATAATATGAAAAAACATCAAAAATTGACAGTTTTTTGTTACTATGACACACTTGAGAGTACAGACAGACAGACCACAGCATCGAGATTTTGTTTGATTCAAATTCCTCGTGCTTTAAAACGTGTATTTGCGTCAAAAAATGGGGGGGGGGGGGTCATAAGGTTATTTTTTACTCCAATGCAATACCTCCTCCTTTACTAACGTGCGGGTGTTAAAAACACTAGGACTCTCACCCACACGTTAGTAAGGAAGGTATTGAGGTAAAAATGACCCCCCACATTTTTTATGGAAAACACGTTTTGAAAAGTCCCAGGAACCCGAATTAAATAAATTCTCGATGATGTCAGTCTGGCGGTCTGTCTGTACTTTCATTTCATCTGAACCGATTGGACTCAATTTTGTACACATATTCTTAGACATAAAAGAAAGGGCGAGAGCAAATTTTAAAATTGTTTTTATGGAGTAGTTCGATTAAAACAAGCTAGCTCAGCTTGATCAGAAAATGAGCGAGCAATTTACCCCCACAATGGCAATACACTCAACCAGGAAAGTTGAAACATTGTTGCCAGATCTATTGATGTAGGATTGTTCTATGAAACACCTTTGCTCTTTTGTGGTGGTATTGTGTGGGAAAGAAATGATTAATCTGGGGACCATTTCCTTTCTCGGCATGCTGGACAAATTTACTTAGCTTTGAGAATAAAGAGCTGTAGTGGGGTTTCCACCGTGTGTGATACATTGTTGTAAAGAGAAAAAAAGAGTCATCTCATGGCAAAAACCAAAATGGCATCCATAAGAGAAAATAAAGTTTCCTTGTGCGGTCATATTGAAAATAACTAAAAACGGGGATCCCATATTCGAATTCTTCATAAAAAAGTGTCTGAATCATCATGAAAAAATTAAAAACGAAAATCAATAATTTAAACATCCAAAATAGCAAGCGTAGATTTTCCCCTCGTTTCCATGAAAATAATGTTGTATTCTGTTCTGAACTTTATTTTATTTCGGGCTCCACGTCCCATTTTTTAATGACAGATCTCATTAGAATGCACAATGATTTGTTTCACTTTATCTACCCTTGCCATTACAGTGATCACTGATCACTTTATCTACTTTTAATGTTAAAGAGGCACTTAGCCTTCTCATTCACAGCTATTAAAATGTCAATTTAACATCTGGTCGATCTGTCACTATCTGCAACTCTACAGTTAAAGTGATAGCTTTATGATACAGTACCTCAATGTACGTTTGAAAAACTAATTTTTTCCACTCACATTCTTGCAAATGTACTAATAATGGCATTTGTTTCAGTAATCGGTTACAACTTGGACGAAGGTATGCTGAGCAGCATAATACAATGCCTTCACCAACACTTCATGGTTCCCAGCGAACTAGATAGAGTCAAGTTGGCTCTATCAAACTTCAATCGTATTCCACGCTTTCAGATGATGTTACTATTTTTGTCAGAGCATGACAGAAAATGCATAAAGCAACTAATGGAATTTTTAGATCAGCACGAAAGAAATTTAGAAAATAATGTAAAAGAAATTTATACTAATTAAATACATTTGTTGCATACTAACCTGATATCGCACGAGGCTCCTCCCCAACCGGCGGAACACAAGCAGCGGCCATAGGCGCGATCACAAGTTCCTTGATTCAGCGCAAAGTTACAATTGTTGGGGCAAATTGGGATATCACAATTGGGGCCGACAAAATCGTCGCCACAAATGCACTGGTCATGTTTGCATTGTCTTGGATATGTGCAATTGCTGCAGTGCAGTATTTTATAAACGGCACTGAAGCCCTCACCGGCAAGTCCTTGCTTATAATGGACAGTCAAGTGACCTAAAATTGTTACGACACATTAATCTGTTTAACTTACATTTTGAATGTCAAAACCTGTTCGAGATTCAACAATAGCAGTAGGAATCGTTTCCTCAGTACAGAGAGCTGCCGACAGCGCACTCTGGCTTCCCATATCGACTAACTCGGGTAGACCATCGTAAACATACACAGCATTTTCACCACACGTAACATTTAACTGACTAGAATTTACTTCTAATTGAATAATAACTGAACCGGAGTCCACGGACGGATTGATAATCCATAAACATTCTCGAGTTGGAGGACCTCCCCAGGGAGCAACGTATGCCTGTCGCGAACTAATTCCTTGCCCCTCGGACCCGCTGAGCATACCTCTCGGCTCGCATTGATAATAACACTGCCCGTTGTGCCGCGGATCGCCGTAATAATTCGTCTTGCAACGTTCGCAGTGATCGCCCTCCGTATTGTCTTTGCAATAACACACGCCCGTGGAAATATTACACTCCCCGAACTCCTCGAGACCGTGCCCGTTGCAATCACACTTGTGACACCCTGAAAAAGTTCAATTCTCTTAGCGTTTACCAGTAAGACCATGGAATAAGTTCTTTGGAAGTTTTCATTGTAGTTCTAGGGGTATACCACATAACATCGGCAAATTTGAGTAGTATTTTTAAAAGAGAGGGTATGAGAACAGAATTTCTATTTAAGTAATACAAAACTTACTGTAGTGTTTATACAACTGTAGAGCTGACCCTACCTTTTTCAGTGGTCGCGTTTCCGTAACTGCCCGACGTACAAAACTCGCAAGAATCGCCCATAGTCCAATCCATGCACTGGTCGCACTTTCCGATTCCTTCAGGACAATTGGAGTGATTATTGCAACCACAGTTAATGGAGCAATCCGAGCCTGTCCATCCTAAATCGCATTTGCAAGCGTAATCCGGCTCTCCTTGGCAGGTACCGTGGACACATACATTGTAGCAAGTACGAATGCACGAGGTACGACCGTCACCGATATACCCTCTTTTGCATTGGCAGTTAAACGAACCGTCTGTGTTGGTACATATAGCTTGCGGGTGACAATCATGAAGTCCGAGACCGCACTCGTCGACATCGGGGCAGTGGGCGTAAGCCCAGCGAACGTTTGAAATTCCCAATGCCTTAGAGCAATTTATTCTGGGATTGTTGAAGTCTCCCTGCACGCACATTCCTAAAAATATCTTTTACTTTATTAAACCTGTGCGACATTGGACAATTTTCTTGAATCACCTGTAATTGGATTTGATGAGTTATAACACCATCCGCAACTTAGCGAACTGAGACAGGTGGTACAATTAGAGTGCAAAGAACAAGATTTACATTGTTCCTGAGGTTTCGGTGCTGGCAGTAATCCATTCTCCTGCGTCGTTACCAAGGGAAACGCCTGATCTAGCCACTCCCTGCACAGCCCAAACTGATACTCGCTGGTATACACCGAAAAGCTGAAGCACTGTTGAGTTGTTTCGCACCACACGCACCTCCCTTTCTCCTCCAAACAGGACGTACAATCCGGCCTTTTGTAACAGGGCGTCGGACACTGATCTAAATTGGTCGCCGCGTTAAGAGCCCTTCCGACTCGCGAGCAACGCGCCTCCTCCATCCACCATTCGCACAAACCGGTCGTAACGCAACTGTCGCACGATATAAAGTTCGAGCAATTCGAACAGGCGCTGGGTTGCAAAGTTAAATATCTCCAGTCTCCGTCCGTCGACACGCAGCTGACGTTCTCCCTTTCTAGGCGAGACACGCACGTATTACTCGCCTCGCACCAGCCGCAGAGCGAGTCTGATAAACACTGCAGGCAGTTTTTGTATTGGTGGCAAGTGCCGTTTCCGTACGGTTCTAAGTATTCAAAGGTAAAAACCTGAAAGAAAGAAAAAAGTGCGTGAACGAAGTAATCGTTGCCACTTAAGAAAACCAAAGGGCAAATGGATTTAAAGTTTGGATTCAAAACATTGGAGGGGGGGGGGGCACACTAACGGAGGACCATAAGTGTCACCTTAGGCACAGCCCTCTAGTTTGTAGGTTTTCAGCTACAGTCTTGTACATACAAAATCATCCAACTCCAGTTAGAGGTCTTCTTGGAAAGAAAAGTGTCATTCACTACTTCGTGCTGTGTATGTACTGTACAGGGCACAAGAGGAAAATAAAAAAATGCCAATTTTAGAATCACCCTATATTTTCTTCGTGAAAAAAGATACAGAAAAATGTTTATTACAAAAGTTTCTTTAGAATGATTGTTGAATAATCTACCGCTTTCATAATAAGTAGGTAAACGAGAAAAGGCAAAGAAGTTATCGGACCTAACCTCATTTTTTCCAATGGAACACGCTGTATATTTTAATCTAAAAAGAGCATATTAAATTCTTTTCAAAAATATAACACACCAGGGAAAAATTAAAGATTTAAATGATTCAAAAAAATGCAATAAATATTCCAAAAGATAAAAATAATTTAAAAAGATTTAAAAAACGATCCAATTGATTAAATGCAAACTTAAAAAAACTTCAATTTTTTAATTTTTTTAGTGTTATATTTTTTTAAAGGGAATTTAATATGCTCTTTTTAGATTAAAATATACCGTGTTCCATTGGCAAAAATGAGGTTAGGTCCGATAACTTCTTTGCCTTTTCTCATTTACCTACTTATTATGAAAGCGGTAGATTATTCAACAGTCATTCTAAAGAAACTGTTGTAATAAACATTTTTCTGTATCTTTTTTACCATTTTATTTGGTATGTCATTTATTGGAATCAATAATGAATTATTTTGACATTTTGTCAACGCCTACTACACCAAAATGTTAATTTAATGACAAGCCTTTTTTTAGACTTAAATCGTAACAAACAATTTTTAAATTTTGGCGTAGTAGGCGTTGACAAAATAATTCATTGTTGGTTCCTTTAAGAGTCTTCTTTACCTAAGCGCAACTTTTTTACATTATAGTGTATACATGATTATAGCTGCAAGAGATAAGATGATATTCTTGCTTTGTCAACTCCTGTCTTGGTCCTTAGTTAGTTCCCACCGACACTGTGCAGCGGCGCCACTTGTTACACTCAAATTGTTGATTTACCGCCCGCCAAGATACAGACTTTATTTACAAAAATTATGATTTCATTTTTTGGGGTCATGTTTAGAAGTAACTTATCTAAAAAACTGTCGGTTTACTTTTTCCATAAATCGTCTTGATCGAGAGTAAAAAAATAAAACAGATTAGCGCAATAATCGGTGCGAAACATCTAATTTTTAAACAATCTGTATAAAAAAATTGTTTTTGTAAAAACAAATAGAGTTTTTATGGCGGGCGCTCTTATGGAAATTTACATTGGGTGCAGTGGGTACAGAAGAGTCTTAAATTACCTAATAAAGAATCATATTGTGTAATATATCGTTGTATTCGTAATAAAAAATGCTACTCAATACACTATGTACTTTATTCCGGTCCATATAAAAATACGAAGTTGATGATGGTTTCTTAAAGACGAAACTTCGCAATGAAAATCTGTGGGCACCATCTTGTAGAGCTTCCTATGAGGAAGTATTATTTTTTTGTCTTTTCAAACAGGGTCAGAAAAAAAAACAAATATGGTATTTTCGGTTTGTTTCGAATATTTTCCTGAACTTTAACTCAATATGTGTACAGGGCGAAACAAAATAGGGCATTTGAGAAACTGAAAAATATTATCCCAAGGGAACCGGTTCACGGACGTTACAACAAACGCAATTCTCTAATACTTACCTAGGAAACGAAAATTCAGAGAATCTTTGCACAAAAAAGATGGGAAATGCAGATGCTCTGAGCTGTCTACCTCTGAAGCTCGTGGACATCAGGCGCCAGTTTCCGAGGATGTCCTTATGTTGGAGAGCATTCCTGATTCTTTCGGTAAGAGAAGTGGCATCAGAGACACCGTTTTGTCGAAAGTTATCCAATGGGCTTGGAACGGTTGGACAAATAAGGGCACATTTTCAGTTAGAACATACAACTGAAATTAGCGGCTAATATCAGGATTGTTTGTTATGGGGTACCAGGATAATAATGGGTGATTCATTAGAAGTGATGATCGCTTGAATTTCGCGCGTAAACGCTTCCACTGTGAGACAAGCCTAAGGTTTTAGTGTTTTTTGCATTATTAAATTGACGGTTTGAATTTCGTTAGTAATTTTGTTCTGTCATGACTGTCATAGGTATAAGAAACCAGTGTCGCCGTTAATTGTTATGTGCCATTTTCGGTTTATTATTTTTTCCATTTTGAACAATTTTTAGAGTTGATGCACTAAAATATGTAAGAAACGTGACTGTGTCTAGTGTTCCTAAATCCTAAATATCCTACACTCCGCGTATCCAGGTATGATCAAAATGAATGGTTTAGCTCGATTCTATGTTTGGTTGCAGAATACGGACTGACTAATCCCGCGTCAAATTGACGCATCGACGAATAGTGTACCCCGGGCTTTACGGAAAGATCAGTAGCTGAAGTTCCGATGGGGAGAAGGTTAACCATCAACAAGGTTTTTCCCGATTTAAAGAGGAATGCCCCAGTCAGACCATTTAAACTATTGAAAGAAAAAGAAACTGATTACGCCAGGTCATTTGTGCCCAAAAGTGACGTGCAAACCGCCTTTATTACCTCTCTCGTAAAACTGAAGCCTCTAAAGCATATCCCACTGATTTTTTTCATTCAACTGTGTCCGCATACCAGAATCTTAAAAGTCAAACCATTCCAAAAAAAAGTTGAAAAATCGAAATGTTTACCACCAGTTTGGCCCACTTATGAGAAAGCCCGGTTTTTCATTTCCGGCCTCATTTTGACCCCTCCATCGTGTTCTTGACCCCAAAAAAGTGGGTCCAGTGCATTGAACTGTAAAAATCGGGCATTTTAGACATAGAATGTCTCCCTTTCGGTCCATTTTCAGGCTTGGCAACAGGCAGAAACGGATTCAGCGGGGTCCAAATACGGGAAAACCACAAAATGCATTTTCTCAAAAATAGTCCTGACTATATGGGAATTCCCCTTTTTTCCTTTGTATGGCAATGCTTTACAGAAGTGTAATATAAGTACATACCTCGGTACATACTCTTCTCTAAATGTCTCTTATTATGCAAGGTACTCAACAATTCCACGCCACCGTTCTAGATGTTGTCACCTTGTTCTAAGTTTGATTATCTGTGGCATTAAAATAAATTAAATTTCTCTTTTGCATTGATTCAAACAAACTGTAAGTCCACCTCAGTTTTCTTCAACCTTTAAGGAAATACCAAGATTCATTCACCTTTCCCATTCTATTAATTGACTCAATTCGAGTGAACTAATAAATAAGGATGTCCCACAATTTGAATAAAACATTGAGAGAGCATGAAACGAATTTTGTTAAACCAACTCCTTCCTACACGGAAGGTTATTTTTTATTACATACGTGAATATATTTCATATAATAAATATAATGCACGTAGTAATGTGACGTACATAGATTAGTCACAGCAAAAATTTAATTGAATTAATATTACTAATGATTTCTGTTACTAAGCATGACGTTCCAAGCATGTCACTTCACGCATGTACGTCAGTTTTATACCTACCTATCAGGCGCGAAAAAACTTACAGCTATCTAGCTTACACTTCTAATTAGTACAAATTAAATTTGACCTCGAGAAGTGAAATTAAAAAAAAACGAGAAAAACAATTAAAAATTCAATGTCACAAACAAGTAATTCCTGCGCACATTTTATAATACCTGTGGACTTCGAATGTTAGACAAAATCCCAAAGTTAATTAAAACCGTTTTTGTAATTTCCTAATTTGAAATAAATAAAATTTGAGAATGCTTTGCACGGTAATGAACATGATTTTTAATTATTGACCATTTACTGAAATTTAGTTTGTACAAATTTTTGAAACTCATATTCGTTCCGAAAAAATTCATTTAAAATTAAAAAATGTAATGAACAAATAATTTTATCTGTTCCCAACGATCAGAATTGCAAATTTTGATAAAAAAGTTTCTTAAAATTCAAGAATTTTTCTAGTTTTGATTAAATTTTGATTTTGAATTAGAGCCACGCCTACTCCTTTTGAAACTAATAATCGTCTTACGTGTTTCCTCATTTAACTCTAAAACATGCGACGACAGATAAATTAAAAGAAAGATGCAAGAACTTGGATTCTGTTTTTGATACCTTTTGATTATTTATTTAATCCGTAAATCTGAGCCCGTTCGGTAAAATTAACGAAGTTTTTCGGACTTTTTTCTGCTTTTCCGAACTTCGGTCACAATTACTAAGGAGACGGTTTGAGATTTTTACAAACGAATTTCAGTGCATCGTTACTGTTGTTGACCTGCACCAAAAATAGTACATTCAACCAATTCGATAATTGTTTTTACGCGACGTCAGTGGAGTGCGTACACCTATGCTAATATCTCTCAATTCATGCTCCATTTTCGATGAAACTTTAGCAGAGCCAGCCTGTTTTAATCGATTACATCTCGAAAATGGGGTTGTGGTGGGTCTAGACCAGCTCTACATGAAGACGGAGTCAAACTTCAATCGTTTATCACTCAAGAACGGGGTGTCAAAACCAGATGTTCTTAAAGGGACTGTGGTAGGCATAAACGAGTTCTACATTACAACTGGGTCAAATTCATTACCTATTTGTTAAATTATTGCCCTACAAGAACAAAAAATACTCCATTTAGTAATAACAAAATGAAATACTGAACTTTGAAGTATGAGAATTATTTCTATTTCATAGATGTCTATGAGAGAATGTAAAAAACCGTTTCCTTTGCTTTTTTTATATCTCTCATGATAATGAAACCAAGAATGAAACTGTACACTTTTCAAGAAGCAGTACTATTCGGTTTAAAATTGATATGTAGTACCCTATGGAATATTCAAACAAAACAGTATCAGAATAAGTACAATTTGATCCATTGGTATAGGGTTTCAAGATCACAGTACTATGCATGGCAAATAAGTCACCTTATACAAAAAAAAAACAATCGCACATCAGGTTATCAAAACATTGAAGGGTTATCCCTCAAATACATGTGCAAAGTTATTCACAATTATGGTTCTTGGGAATCTGCCTACAATTTTATTGTTCGAAATCTGTTAGAAAACTGATAATCACCTTGAAATCAGCCTTTAGCAATTGCTCCATTCGTTTGCTGGCGTATGTATGCAATTATGCATGTACCTCAAGATCTCAAAAACTGTTGGGATTTTTAAAATCTTTTTTATAATCCAAACGACTTATTTAATATTTTTTAAACTACCCCCACCACCCCCTTAAGCACTTACCCATACTGACGTAAAAATCTTAAAGTACCCTCGAAAATACCCCACTTGTGATACCTCTCTGGAAAACTTATTAAACAAGCTTTTCACTGGTCATACACAAAGTAAGGTGAACCCAAAAATAAACTTTTTTTAATGTAGGTACATGTATTATTGAGGGTATTATCTTCCATCTTGTTCTTATTTGTTTATTTTTAAAAATCATTTCTAATTAACACATTATTCGAACACTTTTCAATGTAGATTTCGAATATGGCATCTCGTTTTTAACAACTTTTAAGATGACAGAGAAACTAGTGGCAACTTTAGTTTTTTTATGTGCGCCGTTTTGGATTTTGACATTTTGAGATTACTTCTTTTTTTCTTTTTACAGCGGTATATCACACATGGTGGTTCAGTATCACATTTTTCCGAAAAATACAATCTTTAATTTTTTGGGAAGAGTGCTTTGGAAAAACAAAATGTTCTTTTATTGTGAACAAAAGTTTGACAGTTGGCAACGAACTAGTTGTGTTGAGAAAATTCTATTTTCATCTATTTTCATCTGAACACAATTGAACCTTCGTTTTGCAAGAAAATTATAATTCAAATTAGAACAAAATACATAAGAAGAAATAATATTTTAGCAATAAAACTAGCACAAACGTAAATGACAATGCTTGACATTTTGTTCACAACAAAAGAACGTTTTGTTTTTACAAAGCACTCTTCGCAGAAAAGGAAAATTGTATTTTTAGAAAAAATGTGATACTGAACCACCATGTGTGATATATCGTTGTAAAGAGAAAAAAAGACGTAATCTCACAATGTCAAAATCCAAAACGGCGCCCATAAAAAAACCAAAGTTGCCACGTGTTTCTCTGTTATCTTGAAAGATTAAAATCGGAATGCCATACTCGAAATCTCCATTAAAGTGTCTGAAAAATGTGTTAATTAGAAATGTCTAGTACAATTAGTTTACCATGAAAAAGTTAAAAATGAAAATCAGAAATTTTCGTTTTTTTGCTATATTTTCAAAACTATTGAAGATATTATAAATTTGTTTTTAGATTATTATTCAGCACGAAAATTCGCAATTTTACCCTCATTTAACCAAATGTCTATCTCTTAAGATCAGCGAGATCCCCATAGTAGCCCTCGAAAAATGGGCACCGTGTATAATATACAAATAAATACAATCAATAGACAAAGATTTCCGAAAATGAAAACGAAATTTGACATTTTCCGTTTTTCGGTGGTATCTCAGTTATTTTCACAGATTTTCAAAAATTTCAAATGCGTTTTTTTAGTCACAACAAGGGGAAACTTTGCCCCCATTAACCATCACTATATCTATCACTGTTACGGACCCCAATGGTGAACCATGAATTTGAACCACACTGTACAACCTTCAAAAATTGTGCTACGTTTTATTACAAAAAATGTCCACATTAACAAACGTTTTTTTTTGTACTCGTATCTGGTTTGAGCTAGATAGCTGTTCTGTCAAAAATTTGGCACCTGGTTTCAGTTGAAGTAATATTTCATAACAACGGATTGTAGCACTGTTTTTTTTATGTTCAGTTGTTTGCATGGCATACCTGATTTATTGTAAGTAAAATTCGTTTGTGGTCCATAATTTTAAAAACAAATAAACCATTGAAAAGAACAACAATGATATGACATCACATAGATACGGCTTCCAGTAAAAAAATTATTTCTACGCCACTGCTTTCGGCGTGCAACTGTATAAAACATTGCATTTAGAATTGATTTATCTCGCATAATACTAATAGTAAAAGTCGAATTTCAGAAAAACATTCTTGTTCCATTTATAAATAGTTCGTATTAATAGGCTTTCTAAGTAAGCACCACACACTTGATTTAAAAAATATATGGTCAAGTCATCACACTCAATCGAATTCCCAAATCCTTTTTTTATGTAACCGCAACAAGGCCATTTCTAATGTGGAATATTAATTTTGCTAAACACAATTAAATTTTATTTACAACGTTTCGCTCACGAGGAAAATTTATTTTTAAGCATATCAGCAAATCTGATTTTTAGAATGATTTCGCTTCTTTACCTTCCCTGTTAAAAATAACTTGCTGGCGAAATTATGAAAACAAATGCTTGGAACAAGCATGAGCACTCAGTAGGGAAATAGTAAATCAAAACACAAACAAAATCGTGTTTTAGAAATGGAGGGGTCTTCGTCGGGCCCGAGCCTACCCTACGAATTGCTTCCTCCGTTGTCAGGGCCAGAATTAAAGATTGGGCGACCAGTCAATTCCATGCTCAGTGGCCACAAGCAACCGCACTCAGGCAGTCGAAGATCTTTTTAACACGGCACCTTGGCAAACTGAATACAAGCCAGAATAGTGTCCTCACAGGTCACTGGATGGACAACTATCACCTGCATAACATTGGGTTTGTGGAGGAACTCACGTGCAGACGTCATTAGAATGCACAATCATCTGTTTCACTTTATCTATTACAGTTAAAGAGCGACTTATACTCATTCGCAGCTATTAAAATGCCAATTTAACATCTGCTATAAAATAAACGAAAATATAATTTTTTTTGTTGGGCATATTTTCCCTCTCGTTTTCCCTCTTTAGCAAATCAAAATTTTACAAATTACAAGTTCATCAAGAGAGCCGACAGAATAAATCGGGTCTTAAGATCAGAAGTTTGTGCGCTTTAGTATCAGTAGACTTCACAGTGTAAAATAATAAGGTGTATGAACCTCTCTACCTTTGGTATAATCATGTATTTGGTCTATGGTATAATATAAGAGGCAGTAATAAATCTGCTTAGCTATCACACAGAGTGGCGTCATGAAGTTTTATTACCAAAATCACGACCGCCCGCATTTATTTATATTTTCAAATGTTTTAAATATGGATATATTTTTCCGGAGAGAAAGACAAGACTCCAGTAGCAAAAGTGTGATAGACTCTCGCATAGACTGAGCCTACCTACTTTTGCGTTGGACGACCAAGACATTGATTCACAATTAAGGAAGCAGAACATACTGCTCTATCTATTTTACACGGTGGCAAGGGTTCAGACTCGGGTTCAGTTTTGTTGGCAGTATGACAAAGTTAAGTTGCAATATGTTAAGTGCCTACCTTTGGTGTTTCTTTATCCTGATAGTGCAGCAGCTCCATCTTACTTTGCTGATGAGTATTATAGGGTCCCAAACTGATAATTTTATGCGACTCAAAATCCACGGAAACTCTATTAAATTCCGATTCGGGCCAAAAGATTTGAGGTTGGCAATGCTTCTGCTCGGCTGTTAGGTTGGCGAGCAAATGTTCGCCGATCTTCAACGAGGCGCTACTGTAGCTGACGCAAACTTTCAACATTTCCTTAAATTGGGGCGGGGGATGTAAAAATCCTAGCAGTCTCGCGACCATTTCTCCGCCCGCAGTTGGATCCGTCCGTAACCAGGATGTAGTAGGGCTGTTAAAATCGACCTACGCAATCTTTTATAAAACTCGCACGCCCACAGTGTGAATACTTACAGTAGTCGCGTTGATAATCCCAACATGATCGGGCTGGGTGAAATTAACCGGATAGTAGTATTTTAGGAAGGTGAGACCTGGTCGACGGTCAAGTTCCCGACAAAGTTCCGCTTCTAAGACTTCGGTGCCTTTGGAGCCCCACCAGCCGGGCACTTGACTCGGGCTATCCTCCCATAACCCGCATATTCCGTAGTTGTCGTCTTTGTAATGACAACGTGCGTTTTGTACACACCAAGTGCATTCGCTTAGTCCCAACTTAAAAGCTGCCGATACCAATGGTTTCAAATACTGTTGGGATGGCCCGTGAATTAGGCACGAGTGGCAGTCTCCCAAGGCTGGACACACACCCGGACATCGAGTTGTCTGTAGGTTGGTGGTGCAATTAGCGCCGATCGTTCGTCCGTAGCACATTTCGTCAGCAGAACACCACCCGCATTCCGGATCAGCGGAGCATTCTGCGTAATTTCTGTGTCGGTGGCAGGCGATTTCCGGGTCGTAATTTTCCTTTTGGTGTGCTGCTATCATTGGGGGGACGATGTAAGCGAGCAGATCTCCGTTTACGTTGCCGTGATATCCGCCGACTAGTAAGAGGGTGTTGTCGTGCCGAATACTGGCCGAGTGCGCAAACACCCCCTGTTGCTTGGGATAACGAGAGTCGTTTGTTTTGCCCAGAATTTCCGGGTTGACCCACGTGTGACAGCCTAAGTGGTAGAGGTACATTTGATTGTCATAGCAAATTTCTTCTTTGTTGTGCCGGTGGGAGTAGCCCCCGAAGATGACTAAGTAGTTGCCCATTATGTTTGCGGTGTGAAAGGCTCTTTCTCTGGGTACGAATCGCTCACGTAAATGCTCCCGCGTGTAATGAATTTCGGTCCAATGCTTGTTATCTAATTGAAAAACCAGCATGCGGTCGGACAACTTTGAAAACCTCGCAACTCCTGCCATAATTCCCCCGTAAATTAGTAGGGAGTTGGTTGGTGGATAGTAAACGGTTGTATGTGCCACGACACGCACATCCAGTATTTTGCCCCCTCTTGGTATTATTTCGTGCCACTTCTCATTTGCCTCGGGTAACAATTGAATGCTGAATAATTTTGAAGAAAATTCTCCATCCTCGGTGCTACCCCCGAATAAATAAATTGTATTTTCAACGCACGTCAAAGTGTGCCTTGTAAGAGAGGGAGGTTTTACATCAGAAAACTGTGCTCTCACTTCCCAACGACTAGAATAAACATCATACAACCACAGATCATTTGTTAAACTACCGTTATCTAATTTGCCTCCAAATACCACAAATCCACGGGTGACTGCGCATGCAGCGTGACCATAACGGGCAACGGGCCTGTGATAGTCTGGTGACCGTGAGTGAATTTGATTTCTTCTGACTGTGGTGGAGTTATCATTAAATGAGTATAAAAGATTGCGCATAAATGACACACGAGAATTCAACCCCCATTTCTGTTGCCAGTCCGGGCCAGCTTGCTCGATCAATTTCGCCATGGACCCCGGCTCGATCGAACTTACCAAACTTTTATACGGCAACACTTGTCCCAATTCATCCCTCCACGTACTATTTTGGAAATTATAAATTTCCAGATTGCTTAAAATATTATTTAAATCGTACCCACCGAAAACATACAGAGAGTCGGTTTGTTCCACGTAAACTGCGGTATGAGCTGCTCTAGGCGTAAAACCGCCTTCTGAGTGGGACAGCCAGTGCCACTTGTTACCGACATTATCGCCGTCGAATAAACTACACGACTGTCCCGAATAACCGCTCGTGCAAATACACTGCCCTTTGTCACACCGACCGCGACCCTCGCGCATTCCACAATTCTCCGGGCACAATCTATGCGAACAATCCGACCCGCCCCAGTCCCCCTCACACACACACCGATTGTTGTAACACATACCACGCGATGAGCAATTATTTGGACAATCCGTAATGAAGAACTCCGCACGAAAACCGTCAAGCACATAATTCGTATCACTATACAGCAAAATCAGCATGTACCCGGATGATGCAACCACCTGCTGAGGATCTGTCTTCCCGCTGAAACTTCCCAGTAACGGTGAGTGAAAGGAATCGCCGTCATACACAAACACATAGTCGTACGAGCACTCGGTCCCCATACTACGAAAACTCAGGGTAATAAACTTATTGCTACTGTTCGCCTTGATCAGCCATTCGCAATGACTGTCCTGTGTATAATTCGAGCCCAAAGGACCGTCCGTAATAATCCCCCACGAGCTCGTGAAAACCCTTCGAGATTTGTCACAGGGTACCAGATCGACAGCCGCATAACTAACCAACACAAAAATGCACACTACAATTCCTGTTTGCGAAAAATTAATTATTTGTGATTTCATATTGTTATGGAGCAAGTAATTGTTACTGTGTAACAATAACCTTGGAAGTCCTCATTTTTAATGTTAGTACTAATTGTCGCTAATGTTTCCATAACACTTTTCACTCATAATCACTTTCAATTTTCTTTCCATTCCACTAATCGAACCGCGATCAATCCCTTATAATTTAAATCCGCCTCTACACAGCTGATCACCAACCTTCACATTTGACGTTTCCTGGCGTTTTCCGAAAGTTTCATTTTAGTAAACCTGGGGGACTTCGTATTTGATAATATAAGGGTGGTACGCATTAAAACGCGTGAGGTTCGACAGAGGAAAGAAATCAAACGTATCAGCATAATATTGTCTCACTTACGCAAGTAATGGAACATGTTGAAAAATGGAAATCGTAAGTCGTAACTTTTCAGTGCTGCGAAGTATACATTAGGCAACACATCAAACCGCTCTTTTCTGGATGTATTCAATTTCCAACAATGGCACAATTACTAAATCTTCCAGCTTTCACCTGTAACTTACAGGCTGTAAGTTTCTTTGTATTTCAACCAGTACCGTCGTGTCGTTAACATAAATATCTATAAAATTATTTGTATTGCTTGCACCCCCACTTGAAATTCGTTCAGATTCACTTTCCGTATAGTTACCTCGGTCTGTATACAAGGAGAAAATTCACTCCCTCTCGTAATTTTCATAATTTTGATCCAATCCGTATCCCCATACCTGGTTAGGTTTCTTTCCAGCCTTATAGTAGAGTGGCCTGATCTGCATTCGATCACAACCCGGAGGGAGGACCGGCGGAATATGTGTAAACCTGTTCATTGGCCTTCTCCATGATCCACCCATAGGATTCATAATGTATACCTAATAGCGGGCCTAGCTCGTTTGGAATCTCGCCTGACTGTGGGCCAATTTTCGATGAATGATGGATGGATGAAAGTAGAGCAGTTTGGTTGGGATCCCATGGATGCAGGGCGCTTTGTTACTTCGCAGCTTTCATTTCTCCAGAAGGTCTAGTTCTTGTGCCCTGGGCTTATTAGTTATTTGAGACGCATTACTTTGATTATAATGTGTACACTTCTTCAGTGTTTCTTCCCATCTCTCCTTATCATTGTTGTTAGGTCAGTTCTAGGTATCAATCTGTCTTTGGTAGTCGATTATAGGACTGAGAGCGCTCTGGTAATTTGTTACACTATTGAATTACAATCAAACCTCGAGTTCGTCAATTAAAAGTTATGGAGATCAGATCCGCAAACGTCACTGAAGGATGTTTTTGACTACCACTAGACCTCTATGCGACTACATGATCGATTTAATTGCGATATTGGTCATTGGGCGACGGCCAAGGTGCAGGTGGTTTATTTCCTCCAATTAGCACCACTTTGAAAATTGACAGTTACTGTAGAGCTATATGACGCTATATAGCAACTCCCCTTCAACGCACCTTGAATCTCAACCTAACTGAAAAATCTTGGGATAAATATCACTACCAGTCACACTTGGTGGACTTGAGATAAGAAGAGCCATAGGACAATTCACTTCCGTCGTTCATTATTGTTGCTTCATCTGCTTCAGCGTCTGCAATTGATTTGTCAACTGGTAGATTTAGAGAAAATGAGAAACTAAATGGAACATTACAGTTTTGTGACAATTAACACTCAACTCCAAGTATAACTGAAGTAGGCATTGAATGTGGCAAAGAATCATAGATGCACGAACCCCAGAAAACTTACATTGAAATTCACTGAAACAAATCAATCTCATAAACCTTGACCACAACTTGGAACTCATCCCTCAGATGAATTTTTTCGTGTTAGTTGTGAAACTTTGCATCTCGGTTCAAAATTCGGCGAATCATCATAACTGCCCTTGTAGTAGTCTGGTAACAGAAGATAGTATCCAGGGTTTTAGCTGTAAACTAAGTCAAAGGTCAGAGACCTACAACTGCTGTAATCCCGTGTATCTTGGAACCTCTTGGATGTTGCAGGAGAAATGGCAAGAGACCTGACTGTTTGGCGAGATTTCTTAAAGACTGATAAGAGGTCCTGGAAAGCACAGAGAGGTTCTTAACCTACCAGATGATATTTGTCTGACAGATCTGCAGCTATCGTGTTTATTTCAAGGCCTCCTAAGAAAATTATTCATAATGGTCACAATGTTTAGAAAATCTTACAAAAAACGAAAAGCATAACAGATAGGTATAGAGAATGTAAAAACTGATCGATGTAGAATTTTTTCAACATTTGAAAGTGCAAAAACAATAAAGACCTTTTGAAATTCAAAAACAATGGAGTCATAGGCACAGTACAGGACCATTAAGAAAAGCAGTCAAACGTCAAACATTTTGAAAAATCTCGACATGCCACGCGCTTTCTTTTTATGTTTTATTTTTACGTTATATCGATTAGCAATTACAATGGAGGTACACTAATTACTGTTCTGGCTAACATAGAGCAAGCGCTGAATATCTGGGAGTAACAGTCGAAGAAAGCTGAGAACAAGAGGGAGATATCAACAAAAGAATAGAAAGCATCTTCAAGACATTCCATGATATAAGCAGTACATTTTTAATGAGAAATTGCAGAAGAAACGAAGATCAAAATTTACAATATAACATACGCCTATTATTAATTCTTACATACGGAACCAAGACCTGGAAAACACCAGCAAGCCAAAAAGTAAAATACCTGCAACATAAATGAAAATACTTAGAAAAATTATAGGAGTTGCCAGATTACACAGAATTACAGAATGTTAAAAGTACAACCAGTTCTAAAATTTATATAACGACAATAATAGGGAACGAATAAGTTTGTGTGCACATAATCAGTTATTATGCACTAGAATTTAGTTGCCCAACACCGCAAATTAAAAAAAAAGGGTTTTTGATTATGTATTATAGGTACATGCATGGAATGATGCAATCGCATTGATCTTCAATGCTCTCATCTTATCTGCATATTTACAGACATTAGACACATATATTAACAAAAAATAATTAATTGTTTCACAATCTTTACTATTAGAACAGGCAATATATTAAAAAATATGCATATTAGACAGATAGAACTTAAATAAAAATTAATCACATCTTCCAATTGTACAATTAGATAGCTAAAATATGCAGGTTAGAACTTAAGAAACTTATACGAGATTGCAGTATCCTGAACATTGACTTGTGTGCGCAGGATGATCTTTATTTCCTAGACTTACATTATTTCCTAAGCTGTACGAATCCCATAAATCGGGAGTTTGGATAATCTAAAAAACAAACACATATCTTTATTTTATACGAATTGATTCACAATAATATAAATACGCGCAAATGTCAATTACTGTTGTGTTAAAATCAGAATGCAAAAATATTATTTAACTAAGACACTGGCATTTAGCCCTTCATCCTTGAATACTTGCTATCAGGCCAATCAATTCTAAAAAAATAAAGGCCCAAAAACTAATCCCTGTGACACCCCGCTTATTATAAAAAAATCCTTTTTTGTTTATTATGACCCCCATACCCCATACCTATTAAATACTGAGTGGAGTGACAATATTAGAAAAGTACTCACTTGCTGAACTAATTCTTCAAAAGCACTCTGTACACCGTCTCTCGTCTTAGCACTGGCCTCAATAAATAAAGTTTTATACTTTTTGGCGAAATGCAATCCTTCGTCTCTGCTGACTTCTCTGTTTTCCTAAAAATGTTATTGAAATCAAATGGTGTTAGTTAAGAATGCATTAGCGGAACTATTGTCCTTACCATATCAATTTTATTTGCAACCACCATCTTTACAATATTTCTCTTTGTCGAATAAGTCTCCAACTCGTTCAGCCACGTCTCCAATTTGGAAAATGTGGCGTAATTACAAACATCGTACACCAAAATCGCCCCTTGTGCATCTCGATAGTAAGAAGGGGTTAATGTACGAAAACGTTCCTGTCCTGCTGTATCCCATATAGCTAACTTAACGTTATTCCCATCAATATTTAGCCTTTTCGTTTTAAAATCGACGCCGATCGTCAAGGTTTGTTCCGGGTCAAAATTATCGTCTGTAAATCGCAGTAACAGACTGAAAAAGAGGGTGTTAAAGTAATGTCACTAAATTATTAAAGATAAACACCTAGATTTACCTACACCGCTTTCACCAATAATTAAAATTTTTAGTGTTGTTAAGATATCGTCCTCCATTTTTGGATTTAATTGGATAGATTCTTTAGGTTTTTAATTCGATCTGGTGTTAAAGTTCAGCTATTATTTCCAATTATACGCAGTTACATGTAATTAATACAAAACTGTGTGTTAACATCAATATTGAATCAGCTGATCACTGACATCACCGACAACTGACAACGGACTGACGTGTCACGTGACATTGCCCAACGTGGGTTTCATGAGTCATCAGCAAGATAATAAATCAAAGCCAACAAAGGTGTGAAGTGTGAACTGTGAACAGGTTACACGCAAATATAAATACTATTAGATAAGGGTGTTTACTAGTCAATATACAAAAAAAGTAATAAAGAGTAGTTAAAGGTCACTGTACAAAACCTGTACAACGTCTGAACGTCATCCATCATCAAAGAACCTTCTCGTATACACTGCGATCAAAAATGAGTTGCTGTCGAGTTACTTTTCGAATTTTTGTTTACATGGGAAATCGTACTTAATTTTAACTTCCAAAGGCGTCTCGATAGCAACTCATTTTTGATCGCCCGTTATATATGCCTACGAGTAAAATATATGCAAAGAACACAAACCACGTGGTTTCATCTAACGGGCGATCAAAAATGAGTGGCAGTCGATCAAAAGCATAAGATAAAATTGCTCCATCTAAAGCTGACGCGATTTTATCACACTTTTGTTCTCTAGTTTTTCCCGTCGCAAGAAAACTTTCGTGTAAAAATACAATTATCCGATTAAAAATCAGTGTATTTACCCCCGAAGTAGTAGTAGTCCAATGTAACACAGAATAGTTTCAATAAACAAGTCGTAGTAGTTCCAATCAATTAGTGTCACAGTTGTATGTTTATAACCAAACAAGTTATCAAAGTCAACCATAGAAAACCGAAGTCAACTTTTAGAATTTTAACGTAGAAAACCCAACAGGAATTTTGATTTTTACAAAATTAGCGAATAAAATAAAGGCAGACTAAAGTCAGTTCTAAAAAATTGTGCACAATGGACCCAACATTGAAGTTATTTGTGTCACCAGAGTTTAATTCCGACAAATGTAAACTACCGTTCATTTGTGGTTCAACCTAATGCAGTTCTATTGTAGATGTTCGCGAGCTATCACAAAATTGTATCGGAGGTCCGGAGTTGGTACGTTTACGTAACAAAGTACAAACATTGTCAGAGGACACAAGTGGGCAATTGAAGAAGAACGTTTACCAAAATTATATACAGTTTATCGAAACAGCGAAGGAAATTTCGCGTATCCTTTTAATTTAAACCTACACCTACTCGTTGATCCTTAACGGAAACAGATTTGGAAAGTGAAATGTATCAATTATCCCATTTACTGTCGGAGCAGCGTTCATTGTTAACTTCCCTTTCCAACACTACAATTCTAGGCGAGGAGGCTCCAGTTTCTGTGGAGTTGGTCGTTAATAAGGAGAGCAATAAAAAACAGGTGGAGGAAAATACGAGGCGAGATAAGTTGACAACTATTATGGAGAATGTCGAAGGGTGTGGGGTAAGGCATTATCACTGGTGCAGTAATCGATTGTCATGTTCGTGTGGCCCTATGATGGGCAGGTTTTAGTACATGTTGTGAAATAGATTCTTCTTATTTTAGAACTTGGTGGATGTGCCCACCAGAATGTTAATGCATGAAGGTGATCTTTTGGAACTGGACCCCATTGAGAATAATCCAATAAAACGTGTGCATGGATATCTATTTAATGATGGATTAATGTTGGCAGCTTGGAACTCTAATAGGTACTGGTACTCCCCTCAGAGTAATATTCCTCTGAGATACTCCCTATATTTTTACAAAGCTGTCAATCTGTGTTTTTTTTTACGATTGCATACAGCAAAAGTCGCCTGTAGTGTAATTCATATAGTGCTACAATGACTGGCTTGAATCAAAACAAGCCCATACACCTACATGCAAAATAAATACCTTAAAAACCCTGCTCAATGAAGTACAAAAGGTGCATAGGCAAATAGTGGAATATTTGTCAAAATGAATATTTAACGCAATGTATCATATTTCTTCTATTCAGATTTAGCAATCTTCTGAAGTTTCCCGTCCCTTTGTTTCATCAAAAAAACATTTTACTTGTGGAACACCATCTAAAAGTAGAATTAAGGCACCAGAAAACAAAAACCACAACTTAATTAGCGGTTCCTACAGAAAGTTACATGCAGGATAACGTCACAATATTATTTCCCCCTTATAATTAGTGAAGTAAAAAGCAAACGCTGACCTTGAAAATTAAACGGTCAAAAGAACTAAGATGCTAAAGATGAAAAGCTGTAAGACGTGAATTTACGGCAAAAGCAAAAGATGTAAATACGGTATGGTTGCGACAATCAATTTACGGAAATGATAAAGATTAATACTGTACTTACAAACATAATGGCGAAAGTGCAAAACCAAAAAATTTAAATAGGTGCGGTAGAATGAAATTCAAACAAACCAAAATTGAACTGTACAGATGAAAAGTAAATTTACGAAAAAAAAAACTAGATAACTTGATGTACTCACGCCAAGCAAAAATGGTACTTAAGCGGTTAACTTATACAAAATTCGACTGTTTTGCAGTTTGACGACGTGTCCTATCGATACGATAACGCTCTAAAATTGGAACTATTTTTAATTAATTACGTCCTTCCCAGACGTCTAAAAAATACGGGACCGGTGTCAAAATTCAAGTTCTTTAAGGGCGCACCTAACGGATGTAATCTCGACTTGATCTGTTAATTATACTTATCCAAATAGTCCACATTTGGCAGTCCAGCAATGCTCTTTTGTTTCTTAAAATGCGAGGTCAAACGCCGGGGTCTCCTATTACCTTGAAATTTTCCTTAAACTGGATTTTTTAAAAATATACAGGGCGTTCCATTAAAAATTTAGCAAATTTGCATTTTTTATTAACTTGGCGATATTCATTTGTTTTATTTTACTTTACATTCTGTTATAGGAAATAACCCTGTACACGGGGTTTTGAGTTAAATAAACCTTTGTTTTGTTCTTAAAATTATTTATACTTACTGATCGATTATAAACCTATGAAACATTTCATTTTCATCGTTTCGTTCGGCGGGGTTGACACCATTTTGCCATCTTCAAAAACCTTAGAATTGACCTTAGATCAGGTACTTTAGAAACCAAATTAATTTCCAACTACTTTTTCATGTGCACTAAAATGTAATAAAATAAAATAATAAAGTTGAAGTTTGCATACATTTTTAGACGTGGTCCAATAAGATATAAGTTTGAAGCAATGTACGACTTGGGCAGTCTAGCCGTAGTGAACGTCAGAGATTTGGGTAGCATTAAATACGCCTTTAAACTACTGGCGTTCCCCGATACACGACTATTCCAAAGCACTTCCACCTCAAGCAAGGTACTTTGCAATTGACCAAAACTAGATTTCTTCAGTTATCTCTTTTTAGAAAGAATGGCTAGAAAAATTTGACCAAGTAAAGAAGGCCAGGCTAAATCAAGACTCGGGTAAACGAGAGTCGATAGTTGAAAAGTCGCCGTCTCGAACGATTTCTATCGATTCGCCTAATTTAAATCGTAAGTGGCCAATAAATAGAGCGAATTAACGAGCAAAGATTTTAGCGTTTGACGAAATGGAAGAGGATGTCATTTTACATCCACACTGGCTAGTTGAAAGCCCGGAAGAGCTAGACGTCTTTATAGCTCAGAGGCATTTCGAAGATGCCCTAAGCACTCTGCATAAGGCCAACGAGTACTTTTCGAAGTATGTTCCACCAAACGGTCAAGTGGATCACACCTTTACGGAGATTAAAAATAAAATTCAGCAGAGGCAGTTAACCCTAACTGAGGTGCTTATGAAGGAGTTGGAGGTCAGCCCTGATAAGTCATTACAAGGTGGTCTGCGGGCGGCACGGAGGGCGGTGCGGTTACTCAATCAATTAGAACGCTCCACTCAGGCTTGCACGCTGTTTCTCAAGTTGTGTAGTAGTATGATGCGAACGCAATGCAAGCGGGTGAAACGAGAAGGTTCTGCTACCGTGTACATTCAGCATTTATCTAGCGTTGTCTTCACTAACATGTGTCACATGACCGAAGAATTTTTGAGGGCATTTCCTAACTCTCCCAGTTGCAGCTCTGGTATAGTTCCACTGAAATGATCCTCCATTTAATATCTGCATTGCAGCTTTTATTGTGTGGGCGAGCAAAGAATTAAATATATTTACAACGCACTTCATAAAGCAAGTATTTATAACGCAAACGTCACTCAGTACTTTTACAGAATGCGTGGTATTAGCTAGATCTCAATGTGAAAGGGTAAGTTTTGGGTAGCTTTCATTTCATAATTACCCCACGACTATTCAGCTCTGCGGTTATGGAATCGATTTTTGCTATCAACTTGATGGTGCCTTTCGAACTCCACTCACAAAAGCGATTCGAGAAGCAAGAGATAAGGTTACCGACGCTGTCAAGTTGCGATCGATGGAAGACAACTGGATTCCCACCAATCTCAAATCAAAATCGGGACTGGCACGCTGCCTGCAGGAGTATATCAAAATGGATCTCATTTTGGAGAACTACGTTACAGGTGTACAATAATTCCTTTTTTGCATTCAATATCGATTGTTTGTAGGCGACTGTTGGTTACAGCTTACACAAAACACCCTATCATTTTCAAAGTTATTCCTAACACTTTTAGATGATTGCCTCAAGCTGCAAACGGCGGAACTTCTCTACACCATCGACGAAACACTTTTTGAAGTTCTCGACGCTCAAGTAAAACACATTGCTCAATCGCTGAGGAATGAAAAACAAAACGAACAGCGCCATTTCATGATAAAGAACGCAGACTTTGTGCTCACGGTACTGGTCGGTTTGGCACAGAGGAAGTACAATAACGCCGTGGGTTTTGACAGTACTTCCCTTGCGCGAGTAGTCAAGGAAAATACAGCGTTATTGCACGGAGTAACTCCGACGAATAGGCAAATACCGAAATACTCGTCAAATGAATATTTGTAATCGTATTTTATTACTTCATAATATATAGCTTGGAATATTATATGTAAGACTACCAAAATTACTGTTAATAAATTTTATAATTTATAAATATTATTTAAGACTACTTACGTGTATCGTAGTTGTTATTTTGTTAATTCTGTTCAGATTTAGCATACCAAAAGAGGGTGGAGGTACCCACGGTAAATTTTCAAAGCGAACCCCTTTCTTCTGTTTCACCAAAAAACATTTTAACTGTGCACATAACTTTAGCGCCTACCACATAATTGCGTACCCCTTTTCAGTAACGCTATTACAGTAAGAGGTTACACGCCATTGCCCAAGAGTAGGTATAGTTGCATGAAGCTATCTAATTGAGCGTTATGTATGATCAACAACTAATACAAGGCCCCTTTTTCGAAAATCTATGGATAGTCCAGTCAAAATAGGATTTGAACTTTCAAAAGGGCAAGGAGTTTTGAAACTTGATAGATTACTATATTTTTACAGGGAGTTTGCGACCGCCGCTCGCGCCGTCATATTGAAAAAAGGGTACGAAAATTCAGTTTTTCGATAAATTCTTCGTTCCAGCGCCAACTCCGTTACTAGCTATTACGAAAGTTATAGACCACAAAATTTCCTGTAGCTTTCGTATTTAAAGTTTTTTAATCGAATATTTTACGAGCCACAGCCGAGTGAGTCAAGAAATTTTTTAATTTGTAAAATCGCAATATTATTTTCTCCAAATATGGGGGGCAGATGTTCATTTGTTTCGTGCATTTTAAGACAAAAGCAAATTTCTTCTTGTATCCTGGATTTTGAAAATATAGGATGGTACCTTATGAATTTGTAGTGCCAGAGAGGAAAATGTAGTCCTGTAAAAGGGCAGGGAGTAGAAGGTAGGTACGTCGACTGCGGATCCGTAACCTCCACAATACTACGAGATTTCGCTACAATTAAAACTTTCCCCGTGTTCCCATATCAGAGATATAATGGATTTATTATTCCAAAGTTTCATATGCGCTTTCGAATCAATGGTAAAAGAAAACGGACAAATGGAGAAACGGGCGGCGAAAGAGTTTTAGTGGTGAAATACCCTTTGCCTAAAGGAACCTTTTTCCAACATTTGAGATCAATAAAACTAATATTGTGCCTACTGTTCGCTCGTCAGAAGCCAAATGGAATATTGCTGTCTGGTTTGTGACCGTCGCTACTCGAATAGTATTTAGGAAGGGCATCAAAAGGTACGGACATGAAAACAAAGTCCTGTAAGTATAGCGTAGGCACAGATAAAATACCGTGGCGTAGGTAACAATATTCTGTGACTGGAGGGGCGTTTACTCCCCTCCACTTTGGTTTAACGTAAGTATACCATTGTATAAATTCCGGAGGGAAAATTTAGATAAGTTACATTAAAACTCAACAAGGAAATATTCTTGGAAAATTAACGAAAATATACCAAGAAATTTCCAAGAAAAATATTTTTCTGCTATTATATGATTAATTTTATTATAACTTGAGAAAAAGCCCATACTTTGCTCTCTCACAACTGCATTGGGAAATAATCCTTGCTGGAAATAACTAGCTCGAAATCGATTGAACGAGAATGATCAAAATCTTAACCGATGGATTTCCACTTTGGCCTATCTGAGGATGCTGAAATCGACAATCTGCTGCTTTTTTTTAGAAAATCAAATGAAAACGATGATAATAAAAAAAATCGCGAACTTTTGATAACTCTGTAAAAAATAATTCTTACTCAGTTTTTTACGAACTTCCTACAGATGTAACTAGGTTATAGTTGGATGAATGGAGCTGATTTTTTTACAGACTAATGATAGGTATCTACAGGGTGGTCTTGCGTAACACATCATAGGGATTTCAATGTAAAATTCATAACATGCGATTATTGGCTCCCCAAATCATTTTTGAGCAAGAATGTATTAAGGTTTTTGTAGAAAAAATTTTTTCACCTAAATCAACCGTATTAGTTTTCAATTTTTTGCATAATAAAGATGGAAAATTGGAAAAATAAAACCCCCATCTTTTTCAATAATCTGTGATGCCATGGAATTTTAAAATACAAAAACTACGCCAATATCCGTCATGCCATGGAATGTCTGCTATAAAACAAATCAAATTCTATCACAAAGTATTACATTCAGAACAGCGAATTCAACATAAAGAAAGACCAAATTACTAAAAACGGTTTCCTAATATAACAATTTATAATAAATGTTCGAGTAAGTCACCATTAACTGCAAGACAGTAACCAAGTCGATCATAAAATCCATTTCGAACTGCTGCTAATTGATAACTGGATATCTTTGTTTTAGAAAATTCCATGGCATCGTAGATTATTGAAAAAGATGCGGGTTTTATTTTTCCCAATTTTCCCTTTTTATTATGCAAAAAATTGAATACTAATACATTTGATTGACGTAAAAAATTTTTTTCTACAAAAAATCTTAATACATGTTTGCCCTAAGATAATTTGGGGAGCCAATAATCGCATAAATTTTACATTAAAATCCATCTGATACGTTACGCAAGTCACCTCCCTGTATACTGCCAATGACTAGGACCGTGTTCCTTTTTTTTATCTTATTATTACACCTTCACATCCATATCCGACGTACATACATCAAGGGTTCAATTTGGGGCCATTTTGTTTGTTATTTTTATTAACTTGCTTTCGGTAATTTCTATACAAAAACTATTATGACACACCGTCTAAAAATTTTCACCCAAATTAACAATATATCCGATTGGAACCAGCTTCAAATGGACTTAAACAATATACATACAGGCTGATTCAAATTTGAGGGCCACCTTGAGGATCTCGGAAACTGTAAGAGATAAGTAGGTAGTTTAAATTTGGCAAAGTTGCGTATTTTGATGCTTAACAAAATACAGTTTCGCAACTGAAAATATTCTGACTATGACCGATTTTGATATATTCTAAAAATGGTTACGAGTTTGTCAGTTTTGTACTCTTTCTTTGTTTTCCAGTTCTAACGGTAAGTCATGTAATTACTACAAAAACGCGATGTGTGAAGATATTTAGGAAAACCATCTGAAATTAACGAAGATAAGTTTAAGGCCCTCAGTGAGTGTTGCGATTCCTGAATGTACATACAAATGCAAAGTAAGCATCAGGTGCCAAGATTCTGAGAAAGGGTGAAATACACAAGATGTGACTTATCTTTGGTGCAATAAAATCATTGTTTAGAGCAAAAGAAAAGGGCCTTGTAGGGAAAATTCAATGTTACGACAATACGTGGAAATCAGTTAAGCGCAATGTAAGATTCTAAACCAGAGTTCTCGACCCCGAAATAGATAACTCGCCCCTCGATCGGAGTTTCGAGCCTACAGTTTAAGGTCGAGATCAGTCCCGATCTTGAGTGTCGTAACTTATTTGGTTACAGTTTTTGTCACCCCCCTGGGCGTTTCTTCATTGTGAAAATGTTAGTTTACAAACAAGTCCAATACACATCAAACAAATGGATCATTTCCACACATTTAAAATATAAATCTAAGTTAGGGCCAAGACCATGTAATCGAAATATAAACAAAAATTTCGCACACATTACACCAAAAATGAACGCGATTTTAAACAAAAGGTTAACAGTATCAAATACATGAATCGGCATGAGACACAAAAAGCGCGTGCACAAAAGCGTCCTTACTAAACAATTCGTGAGAGAACGCCGCGTTTTTTGTAGCCACGTGACAGTTGAGGTCGTCACGCGTAACCACACGTTTGAATCCCCAGAGCGCACGCATTTTTTTCTATATAGATCGTGGCAAAAAAATGGGAGCGAAGATTGTAGGAAAGAAAGTAGTTTTTTTTAGTGAACATAAGGATAATGGTATTGTAGGTTCACAATTAGAAAAACAACATATAAAACAAACGAACCTCCCAAAGTTAGACCACATTTGTCAAACAGCCTACACAGTACTAAAAGAAAATGCATCCCTGTATATAACAGTTTAATAGAAACTATCAATTTACAAGTTACAGCTACCGTTACGGTTACACTTCAAGTATTCAGATCAAAGATGTTAACGGCATGCAGGACTGCCTTAGATGGTTCATAAATGCAGGCATCTTACAAAAACATTTCACGGTAATGTTGTAATGAAACTCTTTGTACTCAAACTACAATCACTAACGTAACTACTAATAATTAACAGGCATCGCTTACATAACACATAAAGTACAAAATGGAGGCTACTGCCCATAAAGTAATGGAAAATATTGGTACAATAACCGGGGTTTCCGCCATGAAAATTCATCTGGCACGAAATGATAAAATCACAACCTGCACGCTACAAAATACTTTATTAAAAAATAGAAAACTGTGATGAAAATTAGCGTGCAATTTGTAATTTTGATGAACTAATGAATGAATGTATGAAATATCGCAGTCATTTTATGAAATCTACCCTTTTACATCATTCCACCCATGCCACCCATACCTCCCATTCCACCCATGCCACCGCCTGCAGGTAGAGGAGGGTCTTCTTTGGGAATTTCTGTGATAACTGCTTCCGCTGTCGTCAATAGAGAGGCTACACCGGACGCGTCCGTTATTGCTGTGCGGACAACCTAAAGTAAAAGAATTAATTGGAAAACCTTTAATAGTAGTGTTAGCGTACTTTGGTTGGATCGATAATTCCTCTTTCGAACATGTTAACGTATTCGTCATTGAGTGCATCATAACCATAGTCCCCTTTTTGATCTTCGATTTTAGCAACCACAACAGATCCATCTTTCCCAGCATTCTTCGCAATTGTCATGCAGGGTACGCGTAAAGCTTTCTTAACAATTTCAATACCAATCTTTTGATCGGCATTGGTTGGTGTAATACTAGAAAGACTGTCGATGCAACGAAGTAAAGCAGTTCCGCCACCAGGTACGATACCTTCTTCCACTGCGGCACGAGTAGCATTCAAGGCATCATTGACACGATCTTTCTTTTCGTTTACTTCTACTTCGCTACTACCGCCTACTTTCAGTACGGCAACTCCCGATGCCAAGCGTGCCAATCTTTCTTGCAGTTTTTCCTTCTCATACTCGGATGTTGTGTTTTCGATCTGATCGCGAATTTGATCGACTCGTTTTTTAATATCATCGGCCTTACCCTTTCCTTTCAGGAAAAGTGTATCGTCCTTGGTGATAAGTACTTCACCAACTTGTCCCAAATCTCCCATTTGGATATCTTCCATTTTAACTACGTTGGCTTCGTCGCCGAAAACGATACCACCAGTGGCGACTGCCATGTCGGTAAGCGTAGCTTTGCGATTATCGCCAAAACCTGGTGCTTTTACTGCGGCTACTTGCAAACCGATACGTAACCTGTTGACCACAAGTGTTGTCAAAGCCTCTCCATCTACGTCTTCGGCAATAATAATGAGCGGTTTTCTTTGGGAGTTTGCCAATTCTAAAGCGGGTACAATTGATTGAACTGATGATATTTTCTTCTCGCTGAATAAAATTAGGGCGTCTTGATATTCAACTTTGGCACCTATAAGACACAGTGTTAAAATATATAACCAAAAATAATGGTAATGTTCAGGTTTCTGTAAGTAAACTATTTTATTAAAAAGTAGTTAATGGTTTACAGAAATCCTTTACTTTAGCACACATCCGACACTTGAAAAATTATAATAATTAATCAAGCTCTAATAGGTGCAACAGAAATTGTTCATACAAAGACGAGTGACAGATTTTCTCCATTATTTATCTGTATCTAAAATCCCAAATTCAATAGGGGTCACACCGAGGTGAACAGAACCACGTTTCCAAAAAGGACCTGTCACATTTTTTATAGTGCAGCCAACTTAACATAGAAATAGAAAGAAAAACAAAAAAAAACTTACCTTTGGTAGTATTGACAAAATACGGTGAGATGTACCCACGGTCGAATTTCATACCTTCGATGATCTCAAGTTCATCATTCAAAGTTTTACCATCCTTAACCGTAATGACACCATCCTTACCGACACGTTTCATCGCGTCGGAAATTAAATTTCCTATAGCTTGATCTCCATTGGCGGAAATAGTAGCCACCTGTGCAACTTCGGATGGTGTAGTAACCGGGCGCGAGAGCGACTTTAAAGTTTCTGTAATTTTCTCGACAGCAACCATAATACCTGGTTAAATTCGTAATTCAAAGATAGCTTTACAACCCGGCCAATGCTTACCTTTGCGGATCTCGACCGGATTTGCACCTTTGCCGAGATTTTCGAAACCTTCCTTAGCGATCGAGCGTGCGAGAACTGTAGCTGTAGTGGTACCGTCGCCGGCCTCTTCGTTGGTATTATTAGCGACATCTTGTACTAGACGAGCACCAATGTTTTGGAATTTGTCTTTCAGTTCGATACCTTTGGCGACTGTAACACCGTCCTTGGTAATTTTCGGCGACCCCCACGATTGTTCGATAATAACGTTACGGCCCTACCAAGCGCAAAGTTAAGACTTTTAAAGGACTTACAATCGACGAGACTCACTTTGGGTCCCATGGTTACAGCAACGGCATCGGCAAGAATATCGACACCTTGGAGCATAAGGGCCCGTACTTCAGGTCCAAACCTTACATCTTTGGCGTACCAACGTTGAATTTGTGCGAGTTGGTTGGCTTTTTGTACTGATACGCACCGAAGACTGGTGGGTAGACGATACATCTGGAAATTAGTGACTAATTAGAGATGATCAAAATCTGACTTTTTATCAAATTCTTTGTTGAAAAATAAACAGGACATCATTTGTTACAGGAATTCCAAGGAGGGCATGATTTTTATGCAACATGGCTGTACATGCATCTCAAAGTTGCATCATTTCGAATTTAAATTAAATTCACATTTAATGGAGACTTAAAGGAATGCACTTGAAGGATTGATCAAAAATTGAGATTGGATTGCGCTTAGGGTGTTGTTGCACTTTCATAAATCAAGACACATGCATCTTCAAAAAACCCAAATTCAATATATTCAGAGTTGTTTTTATGGAATTTGAAAATAGTTAAAAGAGTAATTACCTTGTAATTGTGTTAGTAAATGCAATAATTTCTAACTGTAAGATAAGCGCCTAAGGCCGCCGGTTCTAGAGTGTTCCAAACCACGTTTTTTCGCAGCTTACCAAAGTGAACTTCGCACAGATACTGCGCAGGCGCATCGTGATATAATAAAAAGGCGCATTCGATAAATCACAACCCGGAGTTAACATGTACAGGAGAGGGCACAAGAAATGAACTCCTAACTCGCTTGAATTGAACTTTTTGCGAAACGGAAAAGTTTCGTAATTCAGAAACGTTTGTCAGGTTTTACAACGAAAAGGCACATCTAAACTATGGTGGATTATCTACGACAACCACACCTCACAAGACACAACAGGTCATATAACCGCGAAATCAAACAGTTGAGGGACCCTACCCCTAGGTAATATTAAACGCAAAGCTGCAAGAAATGCAAGGAGACGGATAAATTTAAACAAATCCCAAAATTTAATCACTTCTTGTTCTTACCTAAATCATGGCCTATGTGTATAACTGTATACCAACTTTTAGCTTTAAGCTTTTTGAAGTAAAACTTCTTTAAGCCCGGTAGTGACAACGCGCCAGTCCACACCGCTTTCCTCGTGACCACCATCTTGGCCGATTCAAAGATACCCACGATTCCCCAACTACCCTACAACCCTGATGTGACTCTCCTGGATTTATTTCTGTTCTCTCGCTTGAAAACTCCTTTGAAAGGTCATCGTTTCGGGACAGTTGAGTAGGGCAAAAAGGTTTGCAGCAAAGGTTCTGACGGAGATTCCGAAAGAGGCCTTCCATGACGGCTTCGATGCTTGGAAATCTCACTGGAGGTACCGTATCAATGCGAGAGGAGAGTGTTTTGAAAACTTTTAATGTTGTATAAGAATATGGTTAATAAATGTTAGTAGATAAAGGGTCACTTGCGCCAGACAGTCACATAACGCGCCAGGTTCAATCAACGTTTTATATTTAGTAACCTTTGTATTTGAAACTGACTTGATTTAATCTCAAGAATCACTTTTTAGCGCATTTCCACAAAATAAAAAAAAAATGCGCTATTGTGGCTACTTTGTCCGTCCGTTCGTCCGTCCGTCCGTCCGCTCGTTTTGCGACGCTACTAGTTCTTTATCTTAAGAGCTATTGTTCTACTTTTTTCGCTATTTGGTTCGTTATGGTGTCGAGTCTTGTACCAAGGAAGGAATTTTTTCTGTACCGCTTACAAAAAAAGTTATTGTAAAAAAAAACAAAAAACCGTTTTTTACATGTTCCATAATTTTACACTTTTGCCGTTTATTAACGATCCTAGAGATCGTTTATAATTTTGCATTGCTATCTGTCGTCTGCATGCTGGTCTGTCCGTCTGTTCCTTTGTCTGTCTGTCCATCTATCTGTCCGTGTGAACGATAACTTTGTTTAGAAATGTTCGATCGCTTTTACATCTCCGTTAGTTATGAACTGAATTGCATGAAATTCAATATGGGCATAGCTTTAGCCATATAATACGCAATGCCAAAAGTTGAATCGAATCGATTCAAAATTCACAGTGCCCTTTTCGCATCTCGACCATTTATAAACCGAATTGCAAACTTTTTTACTTGTAAAAGTATTTGAATGAAATTTGATACATAGGCACTTGGAATAAAGGAAAATCAAACGCCAATTTCAAAATTTGGTTTTGCGCATGCGCAGTGCCAACTTTTTTATTTATTGAAGAATTTAAACGAAATTTGATACATAGGCACTTGGGATAAAGGAAAATCAAACGCCAATTTCAAAATTTGGTTTTGCGCATGCGCAGTGCCAACTTTTTTATTTATGGAAGAATTTAAACGAAATTTGATACATAGGCACTTGGGATAAAGGAAAATCAAACGCCAATTTCAAAATTTGGTTTTGCGCATGCGCAGTGCCAACTTTTTTATTTATGGAAGAATTTAAACGAAATTTGATACATAGGCACTTGGGATAAAGGAAAATCAAACGCCAGTTTCAAAATTTGGCTTTGCGCATGCGCAGTGCCAACTTTTTTATTTATGGAAGAATTTAAATGAACTGTGATACATAGGCACTTGGAATAAAGGATCATCGAGCGCCAGTCTCAAAATTTTCTTTTGCGCATGCGCAGTGCCAACTTTTTTATCTATGGCACCATTTAAGTGAAATTTGATACTTAGGCGCTTGGAACAAAGGAAAATCTAACATTAGTTTTAAAATTTAGGTTTGCGCATGCGCAGTTCCAACTTTCTTATTTAGAAAAGCATTGAAATAAAATTCTTCTCATAAACTGAAATTGAAGTAGCACGTCAAAAATGGATTGCCCATGTGCAACGCTATCTTTCATATTTGTGGCCGGATTTTTACGATTTTAACAGAAGTTGCATCTTATAAATGGGAAATGAATGCAAGTGGAAATGCGCTTTATGTAAATCGTTTACGATTACTTTTTAACTTGTTCTTTTTGTTTTTGGTGTAAATGTTTGCTTAATTTATGTTTATGGTCTTCACCCTTCACCTCAAGATCCTTTTTTAAAAATGTGAAAATATTCGAATTGTTTGAAGTTTGATGTGTGTCTAGACTTGTTGTTTGTAAACTAACACTTTTCTCTGTGAAGCGAAAGTCGCGGGGGTGGTAAATAAATGTAACCTACGACATATAATGCCGGAACTGTTCTCGAATCTCAACTATAGGCTGGGAAATTCCGCAGGAGGCGACCTGAGTTGCGATTCACTAATTTCCTATGTTTCCGCAGTTAAACGTTGAATTTGCCCTCCAAGGCCATGTAATTTTTTATGTTGCTTGTAACAAAAGGGTGTTTTTATACTTGCTTGTACCCCAACAAGTTTTTTTGTTTTGCAACTGTTTTTGTATCGTGTATATCGTGTACCTATGTGATTTATATTTATCATGCTTGATTATCAATCAATTGCAACAAATTGTTTTAGCAAATCTCGATAGACATCGAGGTGCCATGAAAGATCATTCATCGGCGATAAAGAACGAAGGCGGATGTGAAAGCACTCCAGTTTGCTATACAAGGAAATCAAATTGCGTTTCGGGACAGTTCCAATTTCAACGCCGTAGTAATAAATAGTTCGCGCTGTTATAAATTGTGTCGGTATAATATGTGAGTGATAAATGATATTTCAACACTGTTATAAATCAATTCATGTGAAGACTGTTATACATTTATTATGAATTAATTGCGAATATAAAAATCATTAATTGAATTTACGTTTCATTATCTTACCCATTGACAACATTTCACTGTTGCTGATTCGAGATTATTGACAACTGCCCGATCAAAAAGACATTCAAAATACCAATTTACGCCATCATAGTGTTTCATTTTACGTGCTTTCCCTACTTTACCTATTTCAGGTTAAGGTGTTGTTTGCAACTAATCACGTAAGGAGGTGATACTCACTTAGATGCTTGATCACGTGCCACTTTTCGTTTTCAAATTTAGGCGGGATCTGGTTAGCTTTTGGAGGATAGTTTACAGGCATCAAATTTGAAACAAGAAGGTATTTAGTATCAAAGAATGGCACCTTATAAGTACCTACACTCCACAACAAAATGGTACTGCTGAACCTAAAAATCGAACACTTATCGAAATTGCACGTGAATGATTTTAGAAGCAAAAGAAGAAGAAACTTGGCAACAGATTTTGCGGTAAACCTGTTATAATAATGGCAAATAATATGCACCCCTTTTGATATTACAGAAATAAAAATGCGTTTATATTCTTTTAATTTAATCCAGACATTGTATAAACCTGCTGTTAAGGTTTGTGCAACCGAAGGTTGACAGTAAATTTATATATATATCCACATACAATGTTATCTATCTAAATAAGTTTAACTGAAACATAAAAGACCGGCCGTAATTGTTTTTATTTACCTAAATGCAGCGTTGATTTTATTTTACACAATAAAGCCTGAAGGGTTCAGAGGTCGAATGTTTAAACGTTCAATAGTAAAATCTTATTGCGTCCACATTCATTCAAAAACGGTAAAATAGTATGATTTAATATCTAATGAAAAACATAAGAATATAGATAATGATTATACTTAGTAGGTATTACAATGCTCTTATAAAAATAAATTATAATAAACAGACTGTATAAATACAAATGAGCAATACTGTTGATAAAATTGATACCAAAGTTGAAAATAAACATGCAATATGTACAGTTGGGTGCATAATATTTAACAATTTAAGGCGCTGTCACTAAATATTTTTAAGTACGTGTACCGCATTGTGGCGTCATTTACTAAATACTACACTTTATAATAACATAAAAAGTAATACGCCCGAAAGGCGTAACCTAACTATATGGACGGACTGTTGATGGACTGGTCAGAGGTATAGACCTCTCACCAAAAAATAAAATAAAAATACAACAAACATAAACTAAAAATGTATATACAAACCTATTAGTACCGCGTTTTTAATTTTGAAAATGTTTCAAAAATTTGTACCTATAAGTTAAACCTAGTATCTAGTTTGATTGCTGCACATGAAAGGCATATATACTTACATCCTAGTCAATAAAGTTATGCTTATAATAGAATAATGCTATAAAACTTAAAAGTAATGGAATGTATTGTATGGATGGGTTTATGTGTTTCTTCAAATAACACGCGCTAAGAGCTTAAAGCCTAAACTTTTAAAGTTAAGTACTGAGTTAGACTATTAAAAAAAGTGATGTCGACTTGTACGAATGAAGAAGGACTAGCGAAAATTTGAAAATACTTAAAACTAAAAATTACTCTCGTGTGGCTTTGTGTTGGGACTAGGCGAGCTTGACATTGCACGGTTATCGTAAGCGTAATCCAAGGCGCTGTCTTCTGCAGGTCTTCGACTGATGGAAGTCGTGCAGGTCGCTGGACTGTGTTCTGAATGGGTCGCCGTACTGATGGGCATGTCAAGGCGAAGATCTGGTTTCGTGTTGGCCTGTCCAGGCGGAGGAATTCCGTTTCCGGGAGATTTGTTCTCGTTTGAATTCTAAAAAATTGGAGTAGGTAGATAATAATCGAACTGTGGACTAAAGGAAGTGGGCTTTCGGCCGTAAACAAAAGTTATTGTGACCGAGATGAAACTCCAATTACTGAGACCACTTACCAAATGGTTTTTTGATGGAAACTTAATGTTGTGACATCAATAAATTAGAATACTAACCTTAGACCTAAGTTTATTACAAAGACTAGCAAATGTGATGTTATTATTTTTCTTCCATTTCCATATTTGGAACGCTATAACGAAAGCGAGAGCGATCAGTACAAAACATGTTAATGTCAAAGTTACTGTGACCATATGTTGTAACTTCTGTACTACCCCTAAAATTTGTCCAATTAGTAGGTATATCATTATAATAATAGTATGCTTTACCTCGTAAGTCATCTTTCCCTCCAGAGCCTTCGTCTTTACGCACGTATCGAACATCGTGAAGATAATCTGAAAATAAGTTGGTTGATGAGTAAAACAGCCAATAGATGCATTAAAACTCAAAAAACAATTAATAAATTAATAACAAAGTTGCAACATGAACTTTTTGCAATTTTGCAATACTCTGGCACACTTTATTGTTCCACATAGCTGACCTATTAAAACAAAACGTGCCTAAAACTATGCGTTGTCGTGTAAGCAAAACATTCGCTGTTTTTAATCTTCTAGTAATTTAACAACAATAAGACATTGGAACCTACTCGCGAACTAATTACATAAATTTGATGCAAATAAATGACATAACCAACAGACATCCGTGGTATTTAATTACCGCTAATTGTGAAATTTTTGCAAAAATAGAATGCAAATTCATATTGGGAGAATGCAAACCACGCACGTATTCTATTATTACCTAATAATGTACTTACCTAGATTATTTTTATCGCAGTTTTAACCATAACTTATGACCACTTGTTAAAGTTATGCTTAAAATTGCGACCTAATTCAAGTTAAAGATTTGCCATTGGTCCCCGTTACTGAAATTATAAAATATAAATTTGCACCCGCATTAAAACGCGACGAAGTAGTTCTTCATTAAGACAACATATTCTGTCTGTGTTAATACAGAGAAAGATGGGGTTCATTGCGTCTAAATAGTGGGTTTGATTTACAGAATCCCCTGTATATATTGGATCTGGTTGGAGTGTGATCCCCAAAAACAATCTCAATTACACAATCAGGCCGCCCCACGAGCGAGTCCCGTAGCTTCTACCAGTGCTGAGATCTCAAACCATAACATGGACGCAAGAAATTTCATTAAAAACGTTAAAAAATGCTTATCTAAAGATCTTTAAATAGACCAAGGAGGTAGTTAACAAGCTTATAAAATTCACAATTGTGATAAACATTGTTTTTAACTCGCCGACATTATAAAGAATTAAAATTTCCAAAAATACTAAGGGCCGGTATTTCCATCCTCGGATAAAGTACCAGATTCGTACCTGCCAAATAACTTATACCGCCCGATATCTTCCGTTTATCTATCTGCGGGTATTTCCATCAGCGTGCTGTATATATTATATACAGTGCGTTTATCTTAGATTGGAACATACGATTTTGCATGCAATGTTATTTCCCTATGTTCCATTTTAAAAAAAACGCATCAACCTGAAGGATATGCGCGGTTCACAACTAAAACAAACGTATTAGAAATTTGCGAGTCACATTTGAACCAGCCTTTATTTTTAGGTTATGTACGTGTACGGTCGAAAGTCGAAGAAAAATTGTTTAATAATAAATAAAATGAATTTAATTATAAGTTATAACAAATGTTCAAAGTGCCCTCCTTCACATTCCAAGCAGTACCCTAACCGATTGCGAAATTCCTGAATACTATTTCGTAAAAACGTAGGATTCATTTGATCACATGCTGTTAGTATTCGGGTTTGTAACTCTTGCACATTCTGAATGGGAACATGATTATAAATTTTCGATTTTAGATATCCCCAAAGGAAAAAGTCATTTGGCGACAGATCGGGAGATCGTGCTGGCCAAGATATTGGACCAAATCTACCGATCCAACGGCCCGGGAATGTTTCATTGAGGAAACTTGTCACTGGTCTCGTAGAATGTGGTGGAGCCCCGTCCATTTGAAACCATGGGTTGTTTATATTCAACTCCTGTAACCGTGGAATAATGCGCGATCTAAGTAATTCGAGAAACTTTGTTGAATTTAGAGTTCCATCGATGAAGAACGGTCCGATTAGAATATTGTTTATTATCCCGGCCCAAACGTTAATTTTAATATTATATTGCGTATGCGTTATGTTGTGTACATGATTATTAGTTTGTGACCAATATCTAATGAAGAAAACGGTATCAGTAAGATTTAATATGGAGATAGGTACCTACCGATAGTTTTGAGAATTTACTGTACCGTTCAGAGAAAAAGATGCTTCATCTGTAAACATTATTTTGTGCAATATTTCCTCATTATTGTTTAACAAATTAAATATTGTTTCGCAAAAGTCTGTGCGTTTTATTTTATCATCATCAAACAGTTGTTGGTGATTTTGAAATTTGTACGACTTGTATTTAAATTTCTTTAGCGTTTTAAACACGGAAGTTCTAGAAATTTCAAATTCCTTGGCCATTAAACTTAGTGATGCTGTTGGGTTTTCTTCAGCATAGCACAAAATTTCTAATTCCAATTCTTCATTAAGGACATGGTTAATTTTTGCCTTTTTTGTGTGAAGATTTGCAACACAGCCATCCCTATCAAATTTTGCTATAACTCTGTGGATCGTTGAAATGGATGGTATTTGTTCGTCAGGATACTGGACTGCAAGTAAATCGCGGACTTGTCTTGTACTGTTTAGGCCTTTGTATAAATTTATAATTGCAATTTTCATTTCTTTAGGCAGCATTTTTGAATTTATTGCAGGGCGGTAGATTTAAAGGTGACAGTAGTACATTGCGCCTACTACCCATTTGAACTACTCCTTCAGGTTGATGCGTTTTTTTTAAAATGGAACATAGGGAAATAGCATTGTATGCATAATCGTATGTTCCAGTCTAAGATAAACTCACTGTATNACTTGTCAAACGTTAATTAAAGGAAGCTGAATATGTACCAAAATCGTGAAGTAAATGCACCGCGTAGAAAAAAAAGAACTGCCAATTTCAGTACATCTGAAAATCGTGTGCTTATGGATTTGGTTATTGAGTACAGGGATGTCCTGGAAAATAAACGCAGTGATGGTGTTACTTGGGCAGAAAAAAATAATTGCTGGGAGAATATTGCCCAACAATTTAATGCAAAATCGGGAATTAATAATCGTACAGCTGAAGGTATATTTAGATACTTATTTTCAATAACATAGTTCAATTCCGTATACAAAATTATGTATCTAACCCACATCTTATTATGGTTTGTTGTAGTATTACGATCGAAATACGAGACACTGAAGAAAGACCTAAGAAAAAATCAGCTAACATAAAAAAACAAATGTTTTTGACTGGTGGAGGTGTAACAAATACACCAGATTACACGGATTTTGAAAAGAAATTGTGAGAAATCATCTTAATATCCGTTGAAGGACTTCCATCTGTAGGAGATAGCGATCCTAAAGTGGATTATGCAGCAGGTAACTTGTCTATTTTTGTCTGTGACCCAATAAAAATTAGCATCATCTCCGTAGCTGGAATTGATAATGACAATCCAATACATCCACCACTGCAAGTGGCCGAACCACCCTATCTAATTGAATTAATAGATACAGATGTAAATGTATTTGATTTTGATGCACCCAACAACACAATAGAGCAACCTCATGTGCAGGAGAATGTGGAACTCACACAAACAGATTCTTCAGTTGCCGTAACTGTTCAGGTAAATCTACCATTGGTGTGCGTGAAAATAAGTAAAGATATATGCATTATTACAGACTAATGAACAAATGCGGCCAAAGTGGAAGCCCGACACTTTAAAAACGAAGAAAAGTGCCCCACTTCATATGAAGAAAAGAGCAACCCCAACAGCTCACGAAAAATTTTCAAAACTGGCAGATGCCAAAAATGAATTGGTACAATTGCAGCACGACCTGCAAAAAACGGATGCTGTATTTAAGGAAAATGAAAATAATTTAAAATTGCAGTTGTTACAAGCAGAAATTAACCTTGCTGTACAACGTCAACAAAATGAAAAAAAAATATTCGAAAAACAACTCAGTTTATTAAACGCTCAAATAGCAGAGCAGGAGTTAAAAACTGAAATCTTGCGCTACAACGCCAAAAAATAATTGTAAAATAGTAATAATAATTATGTAATACTTATTTTATTGTAACGATTTATTAAGTTACAAGTATAATAATTCCATTCTTTTGTTTGTAACATAGTTTCTTACGTTAAAAATATACTTTATAATAAAGTGCCGAAATGATCGATTAAATCTCTTCTAACTTGCTCATTATTTACATCATTCCTTTCTACTGGATTTACATCACCAAGTACAACATCTTGTTCATCAATGGGCCCCTCTTCGGAAAATTCAATGTCATTGTTTAACACAGCTATGTTGTGCAAGACAGCTGTTGCTACAATTGTCTGTTGAACAAGATGAAGCTTACACCGCATACCAACAGACAAGACGGGAAATCTTCGTTTCCACACTCCGAATGTTCTCTCTATTACATTCCTGGTTCTTATTTGAGCTTCGTTAAACAATCTTTCGGCTTCAGTTTGTGGATCAGCCAATGGTGTGATTAAGTACTGTCGCAACGGATAACCACCATCACCTAATATAATACCATGATCAAATTCATTATTTTCTAGGCGCATATGCAAAGATGAATTGTTGAACACAGTACTATCATGTGAAGCACCCGGCCAACGAGCAACAATGTCGGTAATGATTTGTGAAGCGTTACATACGGCTTGTACATTTATAGAAAAATAGCCTTTGCGGCATCTAAAATTCTCCGCACTGTCTCCTCCAGGAGATTGTATTTTGACATGCGTGCAGTCAAGAGCTCCGATTATTCGAGGAAAGCGTGCTATTTCATAAAACTTTTGCTGCGTTTGCCTTATTTCGTTGTCATTCCGTGGTAAGTATATATACCGCTCTCTTATAGCGATGAGGGAAGTACATACTCGTTCTATAATCTTTCCAACAGTAGTTTTATGTATACCAGTTAAATCTCCTACCGCTATATAAAATGAACCAGTGGCAAAGAATCTTAGAGTTATTAATAATTGCTCAATTGGAGCAATAGCATTGTTTCTATTTTAAAAAAAATTGTAAATTATTCATGTCAATATTATGAAATTTTTATTAGATACCTATTTGTTCTATGCACAGAATAAGACCTTCACAGAACAGAAACATAAATGGCGCTAAATTGTCACTGATTACAGCGTTTCCCGTGGTTGTACGGAGAACTATTTATCGCAGACTCAAATATTTTTTTGCAAAACCTGTAATTTTGCTCGTTACAGGAAATATTTTTAC